TTGAAGGCCTGATGTCTTAAATGCATGACAAACATGTTTGATAAATCAACTATAACAAACGTTACTATGGAAACAAAGTATTCAAAAGTAATGATTTTGTTCATTTAAACTTATAAAGTCATACACTTAAAAATGAAAAACAATTATAGGTTGAAAGGCAAGCAAATAATAGACAAGAGATCCTTGTAACATATACCAAGGACGAAATATGATATTTCTTATAGATTGGCAATGGTTGCCATGGTTTTAATACCACGAAGGGATTTTGAATTTACTCTCTTAGTGTTTTAATCTTATCCTATCTTTTTTAAAAGCATATTTTTATATAACTGATGATCAATTTTTAAAGGCGTTGGTGTGACCCTAATTTTCACATTCCAAAAAATTCAATTTCAATTCTTTAAATAGTGCGTTGCTATGGAAATAAGGCGAAAAAACATGCATAAAAATCTGAAAAATACTCTGTTTCCTTGGATACGTACCCTTTGTATGTAGATTCCCAAAACTTTAATGATTGATATATGTGAACAACTAACCTGATTTTCAATTTTGACTACTACCCATTCTCTAACTGGATGCAAAAAACTGGCACAAAGGGTCTAATATTGACATAAAATTAACAAAATCGAACATTTTCTCTTCTTGGTAACCATAGCAACAGTGTTGTATTTTTCAACAAACTTTATCAATATATGATATTCAACTTTAGTTCTGCCAGATAAGTACTATTCAAGGTGAGTCAAATAAAAAGTTTCTCGATTAAAAGGTTAGTAAATTCCTAAAGCAGCAAAAAGATATCACTTTAAACAACTAGTACATTGTTTCCATGGTTACACTGCAAAGTAACAATTAATCTCAATTTTTCTTATGTTGTCTGTGTTGCAAGGTCCTAAGGATGTATATGTGCCAATCATGAATCTTATTGTTTTTCCTCGAGATAGTAGCATTAACCCAATCATAGCAACAGATTTTGCATGGTGACACTGTGTTACCATGGCAACCATGAAAGCTATTTTTAGAATAATATTGCCAATACCTAATAACATAAGGTCAAATATTTTTCATTGTTTTTCTTAGTTTGTTGATTGAGTTTGACCATGTAACATCTATCATTTGTGAATATTGAGCGTTTTTCAGCATTTTTCAGCATCTAAAATGTATTCCAAATGTACCCATGGTTACCACTTACTTAGAGATAAATTCTAAATAGTTTCTTTATAGCATAAGTGGCAACAAGGTGTCATGTTTTTGGGAGAATGGTTTGTTTGTTTTTCTTAGTCTTTATTAAGGCTTAATAAAGATTTGAAGTAGCTGAAAATCTCAATTTTTTCAACTTTTCTGGCTGTTACCATGGCAACCAAGACACATAGCAACGAAATTTTATTTGATATATGTTTCTGGTGTCAAGTTGTAATAATGGGCAAAGTTTCATCAAAATCGGTGACCATGCGTGGCAAAGAAGTTTAAGTGGTTACAGAGAATCGCTATTAACTTCCGTAACATCACCTTGAAATCGATGGTATCTTGAAAATGTTGTAAAAAGTTAACGAAGCCAGCTGCAGATTTGTGGACAATTCTTTGTTTTCAAGTGCACTGAAAGGTGCTTTAGAGAATTATGATGTTCATTTTGCTATTTGAAACAATTATTTTGTTCGTGTTTTTTTTCACTCTGAATTGGTCCATTTATCGTAGAATGACCGATATGTCTCCGAATCTTTGATTTTGGGTGCATAAAAAGAATCAGAATTGATGGAATGAAATCATAAAAAAATCCCCATTCTTCGGAGACATAACTTAATTGTTCATTCCGCGTTTATATTTTTTTTTTTTAAATGTCTTTATTTTTCCTGTATCAATTTACTGCCGAAAATCTGCAATAGTGTACATAACATAAAGTACAGTTGACTTGTTTACATTTGTGCAGCAATGACAACCATAAAATATTCTTTTTTTTATTATTGATATGGCTTATTTCTATAATATTTACTCTTAAATGCCCTTGAAAAGAAGATGTTTTGTTGTTGTTTTTTTCATTTCATTGAGTAGAATAGAACATTAACGTCTGACTCATTATTTGCCTTAGACAACATGTCTTGGGTTCTTCAGTATAAATATGTATTACAAAGCGAGTATCTCACTTTTCTATACAAAGGGATTTGTATTAGATCTTTGTAAAGAAACACCCACACATCTAGTATCAATTAACATACAAAGGTACAGAACATCATAACATGTAGAATTACATTGTACAAATGTAGAAAAAAATGACTCAGTACGACGTTAGTCGATTTAAGTGTCTTCTTTTTGTATCTTTCTCCAAATTTCCTCTGTAATTTATTTTTTTAGATAGCCTTGCAGACAACACTCCCTGAAACATCGGAAAAATATACACAGATTTTATATGCAGCAGAGAACAAGTGCACCCAAACCGAGGAGGTAAACTCCTGATTCCGTAATATTTATTTTTATTCAATCTTTAAATTTGATAAGCGTCTAAAGATACCTCTGAAGCTTATAATTCAATCAAGCAGGATGTATTAATCACATCTGCAACTTTCTCAGTCATTGGGTACCTAATTATTCTGATCTGGAAAGCTATTTTTGTAAGTTCCTAAATAAAATTACAACCACGATAAATACTTACATTGTATATATTGTGGTCTTTGTGATACATTGTAGATGCACTTAATGATGACTTAACAGATTCAGATATATAAGCATTCAAATTTGATATAAGTTGTAGTTATTTGCTCATAAAAGCGCCCTTTTGTTTGTTATTAAATCTTGTTGTTTTTTTTTTTATTTTTAGCCGAGAAGGATTCAGCAAGGTGTTGGCCTTGATACCCCACATAAATCAGAAAGACAAGGAAAGAAACGCAAGGTAAAACTGCAGTGATATAAGTCATACATAAATCTAAAATACTAAATTTGAAAAAAACTTTAAAGAATATGTTCATAGACTTCCAAAATAAATCTTTTAGAAAAAATCAAAATCAAAGAAAACAGCCACAGAAGGATTGCAGGATGATGCAAAGCAGAGTGTGGTAAATGAGGTAAATATATAAAGTAGTTAAAAAACAGATTATTTCAGAATATTACTTAAAATGTGTTTTAGAGTAATCGTCCTACACTTTACATGCAGTCCTTTATACAAAATATTAATTCAATGTATATCATCAAGATATTCATTACCTTGCCATTTAGCTTACCAGAGCTGAAAGCTGAAGTGAGCTTTTCTGATAACCCGTTGTCCGTCGTCCGTCTAGCTGTACCTCTATCCGTCCGTCTGTAATTTTTTTCACATTCGCAAGTTTTTCTCAATAACCTATAGGCAGAGTTAACCAGAGTTAGTACAAAGCATCCCTAGGTAAAGGGGATTCCAACTTCTTGAAATGGAGGTGCAAACCCCTTTCCAAAGAGAGATAATCAGGAAAAGAAAATTAGGCTTGGACCATTAAAAAATCTTCTTTTCAAGAACCATTAAGCCAGAAAAGCTTAAACTTATATGGAACCTTTCTCATGTTTCTGAGGTAGTGAAGATTCTCCCCGGGAGGAGAGTGGTGCCAAAATATGTAATCAAAGTTTTAAACTGAAATATATAGGAAAAATCTTTAAAAATCTTTTTTCTCAAAAACTATTGTGCAGAAAAGCTGAAAGTTATTTGGAAACTTTTTGAGGTAGAGTAGATTCTAAGTTGTTCGAAACATAGCCCCGGGAATAGGCTGGGGCTACAATAAGGAATCAACGTTTTATACTAAAATGCTGAATGAAATTCTTTCTCTAAAAGCTTGGACCAAAAGATTAATTTTAGGTAAAAGCTTCCTTGGGTAGAGTAGATATTTTTTTCAGATCAAGGTCCTCTTGGGACAGGGATTGGTCATAGAAGGGAATCAAATTTTAACAGTGAAATATATAGGGGAAAAAAATAACAGACTTTTTTTTTAACTGCTGACCAGAAAAGCTTAAACTTATGTGGAAGTTTCCTGAAGTTGTGTAAATTGTTCATTTTTCAGATCATGGGTCAAAAGGGTGGGGTGGGAAACCAATAGGGAAACCTTGGAAAAAATCTTTAAACTCCTCTACTCAAGAACAGCAAAACTATGATGAACCATATCAAGTGGGGGCATCCTATGGTACTGTAGATTTATTTTTCTTCAAATCAGGGTCCCTGTATATAGGGGGAGGCAACAATTGTTGGTCAAAATTTTACATAGGAAAACATGTCCATCATACAAAGAGAATGTGATACCGAACAGTAGGGCAAAATTGACTCAGGTGAACGTTGTGGCCCATAGGCCTCTTGTTTTCCAGATATTTATTTTTTAAAAGTATTATATCAATTGATCAAAGCACTCTTAATATTTCATTTAAAGGTGGAAACAATTAATTTGATAGAGTTTGATCCTCCAAAGGCAAGTTTCTTTTTTGATGTAATTCCTGTATTGCATTCACTTTGTTGCTTTTCACTACATTATAGCTTTTCTTTAGTCATATTTCTAAACATTTTCATTAACGAATAGACAATTTTGATATTACATGTATTATTTTTTGCAAAAACCATTTTTCATATACTTTTAGGGAAATAAAAATCTTGGTAATACTTGTTTCTTCAACTCAACGCTACAAGTAAGAAACCATAGAAAAGACTTAGGTCAAAATTTAAATTTTGAAAATTGCACATGTGTTAAAGAATGTGCAAGTTTGTTTAATTTTTAAATACAAAGATATGCTGGAAATTTGTTATATTCTAAAGATACATCAATTTAAAGTTTGACGTATGTAAATATGTTTGCGATTATGGTCCAGAGGCTGTGTATTTAATTAGAAATAGACTAATTACAGCGCAAAAATAATTATATTCATAATTATATTCATTTTTTCTTGTTCTTTCTATGTTAGGCATTGTACTTTACCAAATCCTTTAAAGATGCTCTTTCCTGCATGAAGGTAAGATTTTTCACACATCGTATATAACCTGAACCATTTTTTGGCTTTACAATATGGATTTGGTAAAAACATACACAATCTAAAATAATCCAGATACAAAATTTTGAAATTATGTTTGATGAAATTTCCTTATATATTCTTAAGATTTAATCATGTGGGGCTTTATTTGGTGATAGAGCTTTGAATTTTCCCACCAATACATCGTTACACATGTGTATTTTTCTTATTCATATGTTATTTTGTTCGAAGAAATCCCTTTCAAGCATTGATACTTCAACACTGACGGAAAGGGTTTTAGATTTGCTGGAGAAAAAGAATACTAACCACTCTCAGGAATTAACGGATGTTCTGAATACTGTTAGGAACATGTGAGCACCATTATCCATAAATTATGTTGTATAGTTATATCAAATACGTACAACGTAAATGCCTGTTCAACTTTTGTTGTATTGCAAATGTATGGAAACTTCACTAACTCAGCATAATGGAAGTCAGTATTTTATGTAATTTTATTTCAGAAACGATCAATTTGGTCGAGGAACACAAGAGGATAGTTACGAATTGTTAAATACGTTACTGGGAGGATTATTTGATGAACTCCGAACTGTTAGTGTGAGTGATATACCCTGTATCACAAATGCACATATAATCTTTAAAAAAAAACATGTAAAATAAATAATTGTTTTATACAAAACATTTGATTCAGTTTAATAAAAATATCAAATCATTCTCGATAACTTTATATTTATTTCAGGAAAATGGAACATTGCAATCAGCAGGTATTCAAACTGTATATGAATTTCTGTGTCAAATTCTTTATTTGATGTGCTTCGTAGATGTTTTGCAATTTTAAAAGTTCTACAATTGTTCTACATTTTTAGATTATGACTCTGATCAAAATGGTATAAGTGTAAAAAATCTGTTCACCGGGTTTTTCATAACCATCTACGTTTATGATTCCTGTTGTGACGTAAGAATTTTTTTTCTATTTTCCTGCTGTCATTAATTACGCTGAAGCACGTTTGCATGTAAGCTGGTTCATGCATGATCAAAACATAGTTCCTTAATTCCTAATTTGATTCTTAAAAGGCTATAAAATTATCAACGCACTACTCCTAAAAAAATACTATAGTAAACTACAACTATAGTTTTTACTACAGTAAATTGAAGTATTTTTACTATGTATTTCAGATTGTTATATATATTTTTTTGTTCTGAAATTCATACATGCATATATCTTTGTTAAATGGAATTATTATTGGTACATTTGCAAATTATTTCCACATTTTACAGTACTGTTATCGAATATAAGAGATTTTAAGCTTTGACACTTCAAAAAAAAAGTCCAGAGTTAAGTTTCACACTAAATGAAGGTAAAAAAAAGTTTTTACTATAGTTAATTATAGTAAATTTTTGTTAGGGACGGTTTACAAACATACTAAAAAAAAACACTTTTTTTCTTCTCAGGTTGAGGTTGACTTTGAGGAATTTACAACTTTAAGCATTCCAATTATTGAAGAGCTGGAACGTAATTTCGATGTAGGAGTTATTTATTATTGAGAAATAACGGTTATTTAAGCAGTAGTAAAATTATATAGAACAAAAGAAATCTTCTCTCTACACTATCATTCTTCCTTAGAAATTACCACATCATGGTTTACAAACAATTTCTTCGGAGGAACCACAAAACGACATTGAAAAGGGTTTAGCAGACTTGATACAGATAGAAGACTATGATGAGAGTAGTCTCTCCTGTCGAATTTGCAATATAGGTAATTATTTCCTCATTCTCTCGTACTTTGGACATTGTGTCTTACAAATAATTCGAATTACTCGTCAATCAGCAAGACAAATCAGTAAACCGAAATGCTTGTTCAAATCATATTTCAATATATGGTGATTTGGTTTTGCGATAAATTACATTTTGAAACTTAACTACATGTAAACAATTTTTCGAAATGAGAAAAATACATAATAGATTGTAAATTATATACATTAAGAGGGATCAGGAAAAGCTTACAGACGAATGTTGGTGTTTCAACCTCCTCCTGTTCTTGTGATACACATAAACAGATTTAAAATGGTAATTCCATTTTTTTTTTTACGTAAATTATTTATAACCTTTTTATCCTTCAAAGTGGTAAAACAATTGTCAGATTACCCAAGCAACGCCTTTTTTTAACTTTCAGAATGATTTCAACAACCTTACCAAAGACACAACATGTGTACGGTATCCTAGGAGATTCAATATGGCCAAGTTTTGTTCAGTTGCAAACACAGTATGTAAACATTCTTTGTTTAATTATTTAACAAAGAAACATGTATGTTGTACATGTACTTGGAAAGTAATAAGATATGTACATTTGTATAAACTAGAGAATTTTTCAGGAACTCTCAACGAAAGATTTGAATTACGAACTGTATGCCGTAATTGTTCACTCTGGTGCCCTATGGGGTGGTCATTATTATGCATACGTTAACACCACACGGAAACATGACGTTAAAAAGTGGCAAGAACATCTCAATAGATCGACAGGAGATTTGGAAGAATTAAAAACTAGAGTAGAAGATTTGTTGAGGGAAAAGCGTGATCAGCAAGATGATTCGGGATACTTGGATCGATGCAACGTTAGGGATAACTGGTTTTATGTGAGCGATGATTATGTTCGTTCGGCGAATGCCGGTGAAGCTCTATGCCATAAGGACGCCTATATCTTATTTTACGAAGTGCAATAATTGTACATGTGAAAGGTGGAATGACTATTTCTGTCAATTTGTCGGTGGCATACAAAACATTCCTAATTTTTAAAAGGGAACTCAGCTTCTTCACCTTATTCTGTCAGCGAGCAAATTTCCATATAAGAATACTTGTATAAAGTTTCCACCACTTCTTTTCATATATCAAGACATTCCTCTTTTTTTCGGAAGCGTGACTGGGATAATAATATTGCACATTTATCGAAAAGTAATATGAATTATCTAATGTATACAAAATGAGTTCATATGCTTATTGGAATATTTTTTCTGATTGACTGATGTCTTTTTAAGTAGTGAATAACAATTACAAATCTTGAATGCACTTAAAATGTGAAGTATTTGCCTTTGCTGTTGCCAAAGTTTCAATCACGATTTTCAATCCAATCGAGTTACAGTCTCATCAGAAACTTCTGGTTGTTGTATTATCTATTATTCAATGAGCAATAACAGACATCTGCATTGAATATGTGTATTTATTTATCAACGATATATAATTAATTATGCAATTATAAATAAACTTCTGTACTTGTATGTGTAACTGTTTATTTACTAACTGAAGTGAGGTAAAACATAAATTGCTGTTTTTTGGCCTGCTTGAAAATATTATGGTTACATATTTTTGTTGGTATAAATGCTGTAAATGTTGCAAAATGTCAGAAAGAAATAATTTGCGGAATGTTATTTTCGTGTGCTGTTTTAAAAACTCATTGTAAGTATGTAGAAGAATAAATCTGCGAATAATTCTTGATCTGCTACAAAATGAGAAAAAAAAACTTGTTCTAATATATCATTTTAAATATTTTTGGTGCATAGGCTGCCACCTTATTAAAAGCAAATCAGACAGTTTTGTTTATCTTTAAAATTAAGTTAAACTTCAATAGTATCAAAGTCTACAAAATATATTTTGAATTCGCTGTGCAATTAAGATAGTTATTTTTATTTTCCCTTGTAATCGTCTAGAAATGTGAAGAGTGGCCGACCGAAATTCATTTCCGATAACTTTTTTACCTCAGTAGTGTCCTCAAAACTAGTAATCGATCCTTCCTTTTGGCCTTCCGTCTGCCCACTCACACTGATAGGATGTCTTCGCTATATATAAAAAATCTTCAACAGCTTCACTTACACATTGTTTTACTTGCACAATGATTGTATACGCCATGAAAATGTGTACTTGGATCTTATAATTTGTTTATTAAGAAAAAAGGGGCTATATTTTTTTGTTTCCATTGCTGAAATTTTCTTCAACATTTTTGTTATAAATAAAGCACATATCTCACACGTACATCTACGTGTAATGTTCATATAGAAACTTTGCACATTGATTTTCACACATAAAAGATGTGCAACTTGTATCTTGGATTGGTTTCGAAAATGGTATGATGCTGATTTTTCAGTTATTAAACTAACAAATTTGTCTTCTTTTTTTAAAATTGTGTAGATACAATTCCTCATTTTCTGTGATTATTATTGTTATCTTTAATTTGGTGGGAGGGGGTTCGAGGGAGATGAGGTTGGGTATTTAATCAACGTTTCACTTCTTTGTTTGAAATAGCTATCGATATTTTACATAGTTTTACATGTTGTATTTTGTGTCAGATATATAAAAACACATATTAGTAATTAAAAGTATTATGACGCACTGCGAAATCAAAATTTCTAGCTGAAGGTCGTCTTAGTCTGAAGAATTATTGCATCGTGAAATAGATCTCAGTTTTCTGATTTTTTTTTTTTCAATATACATGTACATGTATACTGTCATCAAAGTAATTACGATCTAGAGGTAAATGCACTTTATAACAAATCAGATAAAGAAGGGAAATCGCTGTACGAAAAAAGATGCCCATGGACCACAACGCTTACCTGGGTAACTATGGCCCTTCTGGTCTTCAACAGCAGATTCTTTTTCCTAAATATTTTTTTTTTAAGTAGAACTTTGATCAGGTATTTTTTGCCACATCCAACTCCAAGGGTCATGATTGCCTGATGCCACGAGCGTCAGGCAGCTAGTTACACTGTAAGGATCTTTTTTTTTTTTTTTTTTTTTTGTGCGAAACTACGTGGTCACAGTTAGGCAGCTAAATTTTTTGCAAGCTGGTATACATCGAAATTTGTTACCTGCATTTTAACAGAAGAAACTATAATATTACGGATGCAAAATGTTGATGCATTTCATTGCTTTACTTTTTTGCATGCAGCTGTTCTAAAAATGCGATTCCCTATACAGTTTGTCGGTGTTACTTTTTTTCTGCTGTTCTTTACCACAGGATCAGTCCGTTTGTCTTCCAGGAAGCGGGTGACACAATTTTTTCGCTCAAAATGTCACGAGTAAATCTTCGCGCCTTTTTTTTTATTCTATTGAATGGAAATGATTTCTCAATGGAATTAAAGTTTGTTCACGAACTTTGGAAAACAAGTAACATATCCTTGATGTTGGGAAAATATAAGAAGTCATATCACACGCTATTTAAGGATTTAAATAATTAAAATGAAACATACAAAAACTTCTTAAAAGGAAGAATTGGCCAAATATTGATGATGATTCTGATACTATATCGCTCGCATCCACCTTGGGATTTTCAGAGTTTAAAGATGTCCTTCCACCCACCCTCACTCCCATGGGAAACACAGAAAATATACTTAGGTAGGAAAGTGCTTTCTAAACTCCAACCCACCCCCTAACAACAACAACAAAACAATTGGACAGAAATGTTTATCATGCTTATACATTGATTGCTTTATAGTCCGGCAAGCTATTTGAAAAGTTATTACTTGTTTGAATGAATTTTAATTCTACCTCGGGATGCTACGTTTGATCCCTGCTGTGACCCCGTCCTATCCCCAGGAGTCGTGATTTGTATAAATTTGAATCTGCACTATCTGAGGATGCTTCTTTAAAAATATGTTTCTATATTAAATGGCTTATAAAATCTATGCTCTCCTTGAGATGACTTATTTTTAGATATTTCCTATATATGCCTATATAAAATTCATCCCCTGTTTTGTCGCGCCCTACCAACCTAGGAATGAGTGTTGATTGGAGACTTTAATATTTACCTAAATTAGAACCACAGAAGTGACCAGGATCTTAACTTTCACATTTTGTATGTATAGAGATCAAGACTGTACTTCATAATCAAATAAAATCAATTCATAAAATGTATTGTTCACGTATTTCACGACAAAAACACACTACTTAGAGCCCCAGGTAAACCTAAGGATGAAAATCTCAAAAATTTACGATATGATCTATTATATCTATTAAATACAAAAAAAGATAAAATGTGCATGCGGAAGCAGAGACAAGGCGAAGTGTTAAAGGAAAGAAACAACAATTAACGACAAAAAAAAAAAAAAAATTAAAAAAAAATCAAGACTCCGGGACAAAGCATATAAAATTTTCAAATTTTATTGCACAGCTATAGGACATAAAACTTTATAGCCAGTCATATAGTTAAGGAATATTTTCGCTTACTGAACGTGATAAAAAAAGTCATAACAAAAGACGGACAACCAATAATAAAGGCACAGGGGTATATACATGTATGTACTAGAATTAAAATTCTTTAAGAATGGTTGGATATATTTTTACAATGTAATGAAAAATAATATTTACTGGAAAATACTAGACAAACAGTAGCTTTTAATTTCCTACAATTTATGCTAACATGTGCTCGTTAATTACCTTGTGTAATTACAGAATTTCTTCAACTCCACTTGATTGTCAAAGAGCACATGGCTTGTACGAGAGTGATTGAACATACATGTACATATAGCGGTAGTCGGAGAAGGATTGTTGTCGACATTCAGGTTTCTTTAGGAAATATTACTAAGGAATGCATAAGCCAATTTTTGATAACAATTACCTAATTTTATGCATGCAAAGAAACATTACAAATTTTGATTTTCTGGAGAGAAAAAATTCCAAGTCGATTGAAGTCCCACATCTATAAGCTTAGCATCAAACACTGAAATAAACTAAATATTCATAATATATCGATTTATCTTATTCTAGTATTTGACAATTTGTTTGATCTGAAATCTTTTCTAAAGATTGATTTCTTTGGATGATAAATTGCATTCTTTTTATATTGTGACTTTTAGTTTTTTTTCCCTAAAAAGGTAATATACAAGAATAAGGGAAAAAAATGACAAAGAAATAGAAAGTAGAAAACAAAGAACTTCCTTTTCCAAATACCGATTAAAATCCCTATAAATAGCTGCCGATGTGGATGACAATCAATATACATGTATGCACGCACTGACATTTACTGGGATTTAAAAATAAATAATTTAAATACGGGGCGTTTTCAGAACTTTGAGGCACGAAATGTGCGACAATGGTGAACGGAAAAGTTGCTCGAAAATGTTGTATCATACATGCATATTATAATTACATTAAAATGCAAACTGGTGTATTTTTACAGAAACACGACGCATTTCGCCTTACTAAGCTACCGGTATATGATGATAATCACTGCATGGCCTAATTCCATCAAGTATGCGACTCGATAATGCTTTAAGGTCATATTGCAACAGTAACATTTTTAATAAAAACAATTTTTAAAAATGTAAAATTCACATGTATGTACTAAGCGTTTCTTTCGTTTTGACATTTTTCTGCGAAAGCCTGCTTTCATTTTGTTTATTGTTATTCATACTTTCGTTTCACATTATTCAAGTAAAAGGAGACAACAAATTAGCCTGAAAAGGAATAAAACGACACATCCCCGAAAAACATTGAAGGTATCTTTTTCTACTCTCTCCTAGTGAATCCGATTAGCATGCATCAAAACTAGTTTGTCAATAATGAATTAAGTTCTGGTAGTATGAGCTCGAGCCCACAGACAGCTCAAACGTGAGAAATGCAGTAGTTTCTAATAAAACAAGGTGCAGAAACCTCGAATCAAAAATAGTTTAGGTGATATGAATCACGACCTATTGCTATTTGTTTTCGTCTACTTTTTGTGGAGAAAGGATTTTTGAAAAAAAAAAAATTGAAATTTCACTAATCTATTGAGCCCCAACCTAACATCAGAATTCCCGGACTCTCATCGTCGCAAACCACAGCCAAAATTTACGATCCTCTCCCATTCTGGCCGTGGTTGAATGGAAAGAGAATATTTCGAAGCGCGTTTAAATAATGACCAATGCAAGTAAAGTCAGAAAATGAACTTTCAATACCCAGTCACAGTTTACGGAATATATCTCGTTTACTGTTCATGTCAATTGTTGATTTCAATTGCGATGAAAACAATTATCCTCATTGGATTATCAAGCGGCCACGGGTAGGAGAGAGCTATATGCGGACTCCGGACCGTGCCTTGAGGCGATGCCTGACCCTTAAACCATATATATCACAATTTTGGTATAGGGCTTGTACTTTACAGTCATGCTTGACTGCTTGATGTCAAGGAGAAAGAAGATTTCTAAGATTGATCATTTTAGCTACACCTCTCAGGCCTTATTAGGGGCAGGGACGAAGAAATTCATAATTTTCGTTTTATTTTGCCTATAAATGCAATATGCCAAAATTAATTGAAAATGGTTTAGCAGTTTAAGAGGAGAAACTGAAAATGCTAAATGTTAATGCATGGCGCACCTAGGTACATGTATTAGACAAACTAAGTGCATCGTTATGATGAACAAGAGTGTTGTCATTGACCCTGGTCATAGAATCTTGGCTAAATTATGATCATGCATGTATATAAAAATGAAAAGTATGCATCAACTTTTTTTTTGGTGCTATTTGTATGTCTTATTTATATTTCTATGCATAATGTAACATTTTCTCTCAATTTGTAGTGAACATTCAGAATAAAAATGCCATGGCATGCAGAATTATATACAGATCGTAATACTGGGCAACAATGTGGTTATATACAACTAAAAGGAAAGGCAAGTTTTAACTCGAATGTCCTTATAAAAAGAATGAAGGAAGTGCAACGATGTATTTCCGTTGCTTTTAACAAGTCCTCATGTGTTTTGGTGCTGCAACTAGGTAAAATAAAATCCATCCAAACAGCATGCAGTCGAAAGTCTATAATAGAGCACATGCAATTTAAGTATTTTACAAATAAAATATTATAAATACCAGTAATGCAAAAGGTCATCTAAAATTAAGTAAAGCACGTAGAGGAGATTCTTAATCTGTTCAATCCCTAAAGTTTTCCCTGTTATTCTTTACACATGTGATTAGACATTGAAAAAAAAAATCAGCATACTCATCTTTATGGATGCCTACAAGACACTGCCGAATAACACTCCCCATGACATATCTGAAATCGTAAGGTTTTCTTTTTATTGTTTTCATACATTTTGGATTAAAACTATTTTACAATTACTGAGGTCTAACGAATATAGAGTATAACTAAAGTCTGTAAACGTTTCTTTCTTCAAAGATTCATTTATTTCTTTATGCTTATTGTATCAGCCTTGTTAGGTACAGGGAAATTCCCCAGGAGACCGATATTTCAACTTCTTTCCAAGGAAATTTGCTTAAGGATGACGTTTACTCAGGGTCTAAGATGACAGAAATTGGAAATATTAAGTACAACATGCTTAATAACAAAATATTCTGAATGGACAAAATAACCAAGTTATTAATCAATATCAATTTAAAAATTTAATATTTTATTATTTGAAAAATTATGAAAGACCAAATGTAAACACGTGAATATGGTGATGCAAATGAAATTCGGACTATTTTTTTTTTTAATATTTCATCCTTTTTTTCTTGCAATATTATTCACAGTTCACAGTGTTTTAACATTATTTTGCAAATATTATGTGTGTCAAAGCTCATGTATTATTTCAATAATTGAATGACAAGCTATGAAGTTTTTCAAAAATATGAAAGAAAATCATTCCAGACAACATATCTCAATAATTTTAACATTAATATTGACCGCATAAAATTTGATACCAGCAGAATAAGGGCATGAAAAGTACGCTGAAGCCATGAATAGTTTAGAGTTTTAATTATTAAGAATTTTGTAATATTAGATTAAGATGGGTAAAAATCAGAAAATTGACAGAGGAAATTCAATTTGGAATAATTAACAAGTTTATGGCTCAAACTGTAATTGTGTATTTATATGTTGAAAAACTATTCTATTCATATTATATGATTAATCTAAAGAGTTTTGTTATCCCTTGCAACGAAGTTTGAGGGGATATAGTATCGCAATCCTGTGCGTTTGTTTGTGGGTGAGTTAATTCTGTACGGAACGGAAGTAACGTTTTTGCATCGGGATCGATGTTGAATGTTGCCTTGATTTATAGCGAGCGCAGCGGCGGCGCAAAGCGCCGCTCGTCACTGCGAGCTCTTAAAGCATTGATCCAAACGATTTTTTTCCCGCAGTTACCTGTGGTCCCAAAATGCTTTGCGAATGGTGCATCTCGCAGCAAACTACGTTCTCACGGATACCCAGAAATTCCAAAAAGAAACAAACTCACCTTGATTTAATGGATATAAAGTAGATAAATTGTAGATTTTTACGTTCTTTATTAAAATTAGCACTGTTCAGACTTTGTTTCGATAATACAACATTACATACGACGTCATGTGACGTCAGAGTACGAATTAGCAACTGCGGTTTGAAGAGCGCGATCTAAATTAAAACTGAAAAAGTGTCTGCGCTCGCCCTAACGGTTGCACCGTCAACATATTAGATATGCTCTCTACAAGGGGTGCCCTTGTTTCTTGAAATATATTTGAGAAAAGAAAATGCTGGTCATATAGTGAAAAAATATAGGTACTTTCGAGAAATGCCCAGGGGTCACTAGCATGAAAAGTAGGTCACTGACCTAGTTATTTGAAAGTGAATAATAACACAAGAATCCTAGGTGTACAATAGGTTGTTTTTTCGTTCTTATAAAGGGTATTTTTTTTGGTCATCCTTAACATTCATTACTGCAATTTTGACATAATAGTTATCATTAATGGTCCTTCTGTTGGTTTTACTTGAACTATTACATGTACATAAAAACAGTACTTTTTTTCGGTGATCTTGCTTCTTTTTGCAATAATAGGACGATCGCCTTTTCTCTTAGTCTATATTTTATTATTGATCTTCCGTTTTGGCTATAAATATGCACCCATGTTTCGTCATAAAATACCCAAATTTATCATTTTTTACGTAAAAATGTACATTTTTTTAAATAGACCATGACACATTTAATGCACTTTTCTCAAGGCATTTCAAACGAAATAAGCTTTAAGGCATCCGATATACAATTTTAAAAGATTCATGTACCTTGTCAAAACTTTAAAAACTGTTGTGATGATAAAATGTTTAATTAATGTCTAAGCAGAGTCTATCAATGCTAATCTGGCATTTTCAGATATGTTGCTCACAGCATCGATTTTTTTCTTTTCGTTTTCCTGCAGATTTCGACCCACCAGTTTGACTGCGATCTTTTCTTCTTTTTTTTTTATCTTTTGAATTTCTGAATTTATGTGAGAAGTATACAGCGTTAAAACTAATTTTTCCACATACCAAAATCACGTCTTCAAATATGGGCGCTTCGGCAATTTTCTTTGCGAGGACAATATGGAAAAGCGGGGGGGGGGGGGGGATTATATGATAAGAAGTTCTTTGATAGAACTATTAAAATGAATTTAAATGCTTCTACATTTATTATGTTAAAGTGCATGTTGCAATACTTATTGAATGACCATAGTATACTGCTTTGCAATTTTTAAATATGATCAAGTTTACATTAAACTTCAATGTTATTAATACTACAATATGATTACAATGCATATGCAAACATTTCTCCCATTAGGATGGCAAATATGGACCGCCGATTCTCGGAAAAAGAGCACAACTTTCAACTCGTTCTTTCAGTCAATGTGAGGTTGAAGGATGCAAACAAAAAGTAAGGGATAGTTTGAACGATAAAATGGTATTCCAGGTTCTGAAATGTATTGTAAAATCTATCCATATAAGGCTTGAATGTTTTCATATGCAATATGTTTTTATCGAAATAATGTACAAGCATTTATTAAACTCTTGTTTAAATGTTTTCATATGCAGTATGTTTTTATCGAAATAATGTACAAGCAATTATTTTTAAAACTCTTGTCCTACAGAATTTATTTCTTTTCGAATTTATTTCCAAAATACATGTCATGTACTACAATATTCCTACAAAAGAATAATTATATTTCTTTTAAAGGTAAGGTTCCAATTGCGTGAATGTGTGCATGTTTTTTGTGGTTACTGTCTGAAAGAAACGGATGCAGAAGTTAATTTTGAAAAGCATGAGCCCCAGAAGGCATATGCCTGTCCTGTATGCGTCTGTAGAGGAGGAAGCAGCTACTCTCATAGCATCACATGGGTGGAGAAAAACGACGTTTACAAATTTCTTATCGAAAAGGTTTAATGTACTGTATGTTTGTACAGTTTTCAATATGTTAATCTTAAACACCCACCTTCATTGTTTTAGTATATGCAATGTATAATTATAACTTTTTAAATTTCTTACCTTACAGAATATTTGTATCTGTTGTTTTCAAATTAAGGTAAGTTATTTAGTTATTTACTATTCTTCGAATTGAGAAAGCAGATTTAATGAATCTAAGGTAAATGTTTCCTCAAATTTCATTAAATAATTATCTTACATTTCAATGTTCCTTATTAAGACATTTGATGTATCCTCCTGCAAACATAATATGTGCTGCCTTTGCCTAAAGAGAATGCTGAGGGATGACGATGTTCGTGAATATATTTGCAAGATAGACGGCTGTCACGTAAAATACGATCTCTCGGACATACTGGAAATGTATGAAAAATCCATTTCAGACACGGTTGGTGCAGAAACATTTTGATAAGATTAATGAACTAATACCATTCATAGAACTTTTCCTTAAATGGACATGGACACAGTAATATTGCCGGTTTGTTTACAAATTTTAATTTTTCTATTTCCATTATTACTTCATTTTTAAATATGTAACTTCTTTCAATACACAGCATATTTCTTACTTTTCTTCAATATTAAAAATTAGTGCGAATAAAGTGTAATAGAGTATAAAAGTGCCATGATATATGACTTTAATACACGCCAAGAATTCGTAGATGTGATATTTTTCATATAAAGGAAGTATAAAAAAAATTTTATAGTACATTGGTCTAAAATGCTCTTACAACATGTAGGTCATGAAATTTTATCGAAAATCTTCAAGGATTTGTCCTAATCTGTGTCATTTTTTCTTTAAATCATAATTTGATTTTCCTTGAAAAAAGATGACTTTTTCAGTAGAGCCTATGAATGATGTGCATATTCATATTTATGTGATGTTATTCTCTTTAAACAGAGTTTAAAAATCTTTGCGTACCCAGGAAGCAATTGCTCAATGACAGGTTGTTCAAAATTGGTAAGTTGCGCTTTCAAATACTCTTAGTTGCATGTTGCCTAGTCTTACTGAGTTAGGGGATGGTTAAGGCAACTTGCTATAAAGAAAAAGAATACATTAGATTCATGAATTGGAGTATATTTTTCGATTTATTTTGAATGTAAATGATGCAAATATCAAATTCCTAAAAGTGAAAAAAATGTTCAATTTTCGATGATGTTCAATATTCCAACTTTTTGTCATACCTCATAATGGCTTCACAATTTTTTTTTTATCACTATAGAACACCACGGAGATTTATTCATTAGAAATCACTTTAATGAATACATTTATTCATGCTTAATTGAACAAACATCTAGTATCTATTTTCATGATTTTTGAACTTGGAGCAAGTGGTCTTAAAGCTAAAAAATAAATCAACAAAACTGAGTATTAGAAGTGACATATTTTGCCTCAATGTCATATCAACGAGGAAGAAGACTTAAATATACAATACATGACTTTTATTTATACAAAAACGTATTGTACACTGTACATGTACGTGTACATAATACATAATGTTTGCTAAACTTGAACAAAAAGCTTTCTTAGTACAGTAAAGTGTCATATAATGAACCAATATTAATGAATTGAAATCTTCACACCATAACTTACTCAACGATAAATCTGGCTCAGTAAATGTGGAAAAAACTCTGATGGGTGTCCCTGACTCAAGAGAAAACAATGGGTTTGATGTTCATGGGCAATTACGATTTTAATGGTCCGTTGGAACGTAATTTCTCGAGTTATTCGTACAATGTAAATAGAGGAGATTCAAGGAACAGATATGTTTACAAAACATTTTTTAAGGAGATGTCATTTTGCTTGTAAGGGAAACCCTCGGAAACCACGTATGTTGGTCTCCCAAGAACAATGATGATTTCTTTGATAATTCTTTCGTATTTGATAAATCTCTTGTTTACAGCTCCATGTTTTCAGTCACCTGTTTGTTTAATCGCAAAAGCTTACAAAAAGGAAACTGCATTGGCCAATGGTAATATAAGCTTCAGATTAAACCAATGATATAGATATACCTTGGTTTTTAAGTCATTTTTGAATTAAGTGCATAGTGCAGGAATACAGCGGCTAACGATGCTGTCGAAATATATGCCGTCACATACATGTAAACACGTGATGTATAAACAAAAACACGCCCAGAATTATGGTGTTCTACACATCTTGAAATGCCAATAGAAAGTCTAAAATGTACTCCTCATTTAACTCTATTAACAGTCAATATGAATTGCTTGCAATAATGGTCGGCTTAGGGAAGTTAAAAGGTTTCTGATCCTATTGCTTCGCTGAAGTATAGAAAAGGCAACAACAGGTTGGTTTTAAATGTTTCCACAAAAACAACGTCATAGCTATACTGAAAAGGTTTCTGAACAGCGGGAACGTCTGCGCGGAACGGCACCATGTCAAATCTGGGCTGTATTTGCCTTGCCATCTGGAAAATGTTCATGTTACTACATGTACCACTAAAATGGCTATTATTACAAAGAGGAATCGTAATCCTCATATTTACCACAAGACTGGAATTAAGAAACCTTTAGCACGAATTTGGTATGCAGTGGTATGCGAGCTAGTTAATCTTAAGTATTTTGTTCCTGTAAATTGTGAACGTGTGCATCGTACAAATATACATACGCATATGGCCAATTTTCTAGCATAATTACCCAAGTACTAGTTTAACGTATCCAAAGTTTGTCAAGAACTTCTCGCAATCAATCTCAATAACCCACTCAACTAGTCTCCGTACAGTATACCTCTGTTTCCAATCGAACATCGATGAAAGGATTTGACAGTAGTGTACAAAGGCTATGGAATGCCCAAACTATTTTCAACCAAAAAACAGTTACCATAATATTGTTGCAAGAGTGACATACTCTGTATATCCCCTTAAGAAGGATGAATGCGTCGATGAGCATTCTAAGGAGATTCAAGTCTGAGATTCAATTTTACTTTTAGGGGGATCAATCAGACAAATGAATTTCAATATCTTATGACTAATGAGTCACTTGATTAGTATAAATAAAAAAGAAACATTAAGCTTAATTAAAGAAAAATATGTTTTGCTGAAATGTTTCAGATGTCAAAAAGTTTAAATCATAGTATTTAGTAGCCTGCGTTTGCTCTAGAGTCGCGGAGTAAGGAGTTGATCCTTACGTCGCGGGCTCGAAACCTACGGTGGGACGTGGAGACCGGTCCTTCGGATGAGACCATATAAACCGAGGTCCCTTGTCGCAGTAGGTGCTGACAAGAAAATGATCCCTCACAGCTCAATGGCCCTGAGTGTCGAGTATAAGTATAAATTTGCAGCTCTCCACCCGCAAGTGGTGGCGTCTCCATATGAGTGAAAAATTCTCGAGAGGGACGTAAAATAACAATAAACAAACAAACAAATCAAAGTATTTATCACAATTGCCTCACCAAAATTACATGTTCTATAACTACTAATTTTGAAATTAAGTTCACAATTCTAAAGCATCTTACATGTACGGATGTTGAAAATTTGACTTAAGTCTAAGTCTCTTACATGATCCTGGCCCTAGACTTAAATTAAGGAAAAAGTAAGTTACATGAAAAATTTATGTTTAAAAAAATCTGTAGAAGATTTATGCCACTCTATTTTTTTTTTTTTTTAACAAAGAATATTATATCTATAACTTTTTTTTTTTTTTTTTTACATATATTGAACCACATCAGGGTGTATCATTGGATTTCTCTTTTTGAAAGGTTGTAAATAAACATCAATGAAAAAAAGTAAATTCATTTTTATCCCAAGTTATTTTCTTTTCTTATTTTCTAAGAATTCCCATAAATCTAAGCTATGTGTATTTGGAAAGAAAAAAAAAACGATTTACTTTAAAATTCTAAGTCTTAACTATTTGTCTAAAGTCGGAAAAAATTGTTGCAAATACCATTGTTACCTGTGCAATATTTTTTAAAACATTTTCGTACATAGGTACCTCTTTCGGTATAGAAGTAATATCTCTTCGGTTAAACAATTTTGATTTAAGAAATACAATATAATTGAATGAAAAAATTGGAAAGTGTAACATTAGAGTTGAAAATAATTTTGAAAAGTTAGAAAGATAAGATTTTTAGTTACCGTAAAGTTTCTGGGAACATTAACAATCCTTTTTTTTATTAGTTTTACAAAACTGAAATATCCATAGTTTTTGTTTGAAGAAATTGAAATGTATTAATCCTGTCATTTTGAAGTCCAAATGTTCAGGAGCGTAATTTCTTGAATTGGCATGTTGGGTTTCATATACATTTTGTTTGTTGGTGCCTGAGGATGTACACTTTTGATTTTGACATTCAATTTAATATTCATATATTTACTTAGACGCTGCTTAAACTCATCAAATGTAACCACAGCCTGTGTTGGGAATGCATTACAAAAGGATCAACTGCAGAAAACAGGGAAATTGAACGTCAACTTTCGATGAAGTGTCCAGTTCGGAATTGTGGGACTTCTTTTCCTTTGGATTGTTTAAAATATTATGTTCAATGTCTTATGTCATCCATGCAGTTGGTAACGTATTTACATGTATCTAAATCTAAATGGTTCTAGAGTGCCAAAACAAGGGGAAAAAAGAAAAGAAAAAAAAGAATTGATAAGAATAGACCATAATCTATGATATCATATAGATAAAATTTACTTCTTTGTGTTTCCCTGTTCGTGTGATGTTAGATTCTCTTTCTTTTATGTATACTTGTTTGCAAATGTTGGTCTGATCCATTAACGTTTGAATTCAAACTGATTTGAAATTACGAACACAATAATTTATGTCTGTCTTTGGTTAATTTTCTTTTCAGGCAACTACATATATAGAACTACGATTTGAAGGAGCACTTTCTGAGTGTTGTAGATGTGTACAAACTACAAATGAGGTATATATTCGAGGCTCTCTCAAAATATTTGTAAACTTTTGTCTTTATTTTATTTTTCTTTTTAACTTCATATTATAACCAAATTTGGTACCCATATTTTAACAATAGATTAAACAAGAGTCAAAAAAGAGTCAAATAATTTTAAATATATCTTGATATTTATAAAAACTATCAAAAATTTAAGTCGGGATCACAAAGCAGGTTTAAAATAGATTAATGTTCTAATGATGCACTTTATAATGTCATTCCGCTAATAAATGGCGCTTAATGAAACACATGGAGATAACGAACAGTATCCAAGCTCAAAAGTCCATTAAACATTACAAGATAGGTGCAGAGCAAACACGGACCTCCAAAACATCAGAGGTGGGATCAGGTGCCATGGAGGAGTGAGCATCCTCTGCCGACCGGTCACACCCACCATGTGCTCCTTGTCCTGATCAGGAAATAACGGAAAAATCCGTCGGCAATTCAGTGTGTAAATAATGGCCTAACAATTAGTATGAAAAAGTCAGTCAGCATTTGACTCAATGATAAATTGTGTTTGCTGACAAGGTCATTGTATCGACCATAGAACTTACGAAATGATGACTTTAAACAAAACGGAAGAAAAATCAATTGTCAAATTGGATTGTTATTTTATTTCAAATGTTAAAGGTAGTGTAATACATTACTTTTTAAAATATTAATTTCAATTAATATTAAATAGATAAAATAGTTAAAAAAAAAAGACGATGACGTGGAAGGACATCACGTAACGGCGAAAATAGATAAAAATTGGCTTTGCATTCGGGAATCCTCTAAAAGAAACTCTGATAATGCTGGAGAAACTATTGTTCAGTCACTGAAAATATGATTATTTTTTAAGATGACATACGCTTTCGTTTAATTTTTCCTAACATTTAAAGAAAAAAAATATGGCAACCTCTACATTTTTGTTATCAGTGCTTTATTTAAACTATATTCATTGAAAATAAGTGCATTCTACTTTAAACAATTAAGATTTTGAGGGTGGAAATAGCTTAAGGCAAGATTTCATTAAAAAACCTCCTTTTATGCGGTGCAAATGTATACTTCTTACAAGTCATTTTCTAGGATTTTGAACCAAATAAGGTTGCATTAAGTGAAAGTTGTTGCACAAAAAGGTATAAATTCCAGACTCCATTTCAAAACTTACTCAACGAAGTAACGATTTTTAGAGTTATTTTTCCTGGCTGAGGAGCGGACATCAATCCTTACTTACAAATATTTGAAGCTACAATCTCATTAGAGACTTATGCTTACAAATTATACGCATGAAAATTTTGTCCAGACATCTTTTAATTAACTAAAAACGGTTACATGTATAGGGTTATAAATTCAGGCTATTTATTCATAATAATATATGGTAAAGCTCTTAAGAAATTGAAAAAAAGGTAATTATTTTGTAACATAACATCTTAACTGATTCTTTCCGGTTAAAATTGTTTTGTAAATGCAAACAGAAAATATAATTGTTTTTATATAACATGAAATTTTACTTATAGCTTTTAGTCAAACTACGGAATTGCGTTCACAAAATTTGCCTCTCCTGCTTTGAAAATTACATCGTAGACGTTAAGAACAGAAGACAGTCCATGCATCTCGATTTATCAATGACGATGACAAAGTGCTTTCATTCTAGTTGTAAAAAGGAAGTTCCTACAGCATGCCTTAGAGCAATAAGTATGGCAATCAAAGGAGAGCCCATTGCTGTAAGTTATTTTTGTTTAATAATTTTTTTGTGGTATGTGTATTTGTCATCCGCCCCTAAAATTGTATTTGAAAAAAAAAAACATATCAATTATTCGAAAGGAATTTCATATGAAATGTAAAAAAAAAAATTAAGGATGCAGTGAAGGTTTTCTGAAGAAGATTAAGCAGATCGTAGAGAGAAAATTTATTTTCTCGTTATAGTTATACCCGTTAAGAATTTGCATGTTTTCCCCTTTATTCCCCAGATCCAAATCTATATAAACATATATACGTACATATATTAATTTAGGAGAATGAGGCAGCCTCAAGGAATGGGGCCGAAGCTTCTAGCAATGTTAAAATGCATGTATTTCCAACACATAAACGGGTATACTGCTAATCAATTAATATATGGTTTATAGCTTTGTATAGATGTTGCTCCCGTCTGTGACAGATTGGAAGAAAGGTTTCTTCTCAGTAGTGTTGCATACTGTCATAAAGATATGATACAACAAATATGTAAATAATATACGGTACCAATTTTAATGCATAATGCAGATGCGCATTTCGGCAAATTAAGTAATGTTCATGCTGAAACGTTGGAAATCCGAAAAAATGTTTATAAAAGAAAACTTGAAAGAGCTGAAAAAGGGGTACCAAAGCCTGGAGTCTAATACATCGAAGGACCAGAGCTATACCCGAGGGAAATAATCCTTGATTTTGAAATAAATTTCTAAATTTTACCACAGTAATTACATATACGTATACCCGTATTTTCAAGCTACTACCGAAGTACTTACATGTAGATACTCAAAAAAATTAACTGATACTGAAGAGTAAAATCAATTTGTTTTCTTGACACGATTGTATATGCTCCATGCCGTTTCCCTAAAAAAATACATGTACACATCAGGTGTTTCACATTCTCAATGTACACACGTGCTATATTCATTGTACATGTTTTACCCCACTTACTCACATAAGCATTGTTATAAAATTTGTTATTAAAAATGTGTATTAAGAATTGTATTGTTTTTGTCTTTTCTCTATCCATATGTCTTTGGGTCTTATATGTGCTCCTTCATCATTTTACGTTAGTAAAGTCAAATTTCCTTTCTAAAGATTAAAGTCTTCTGCAATTAAATCCACAATGTTGTCAAGATCAGAGGTTTTTTTTCTAATTTTTAATTTTATTATTTTTTTAAAATATTTAGACATTTTATCTTTAATTAAAAAATCGTTGAATTTCGTTTTTTTTTTTTCGTTAATCGAAAAATCATCAATTTGTTTATTAAAATGTTACTATCTGGGTTATATTTAAAAATTTGTTTGGTTATTAATGGTATTTCGTTTTGATTTAATTGATCATAGGACACGCTAAATCTCTAGTACCCTGGGCCTCTCTTTTCACCTGACAGCTCAAAATAAAATTTAAAAAAGGCAGACATTTGAATCACTTTAAAATGACTGCCGGGAGTTTTCCTGATTCATAAACCACCATGCCTATGATAAAAACTGTCATAGATTGAAAAATATTATTATTCTATCCGACTTTTAGGAGTATTTCCAGCATTACACCATGTTAGGCAATTCAACCCAAAGTATTTTTAGGTCACCTGAGTTTACTCAGGTGACCTCTTGCTATCCGTTTTTGTCCGTCGGCGTGCGCCGTGCGTTAACATTTGAACATTTTCAACTTCTTCTCTGAAACCGCTCAACCAATTTCAACCAAATTTGGCATATATTTTCTATGGGTGAAGGGGGAAAAAATTTATAAATTTCATGGTCCCTGCCCCCCTGGGGCCTGAGGGGTGGGGTAAAAACCACTAAAATTAATGCAATCTTTCAAAATCTTCTTCTTTACTCCTGGACATCAAGCAGTCAAACTGTTGGCATGATTGTAATAAGCATTGAGCCCTCTATCAAATTGTGAATTTGATTGCCCCAGGGTCAGGGGTTCTGGTGTTAGGGCGGGGCTCTATCGATTATATAGTGAAAATGCATTAATTCTTTGAAAATCTTCTTCTCTGCTCCTGGGTATTGAATAAACTAACTAACTACATAGTTATGATAAGCAAGAATGCCTCTTCCAAAATTGTGAATTTGATGGCCCCTGGATCAGGGGTTCTGGTGTTAGGGCGGGGCTCTATTGATTATATAGTGAAAATGCATCAATTCTTTGAAAATCTTCTCTGCTCCTGGGGATTATTTAAACAAAGGAAGTGCATGGTTATGATAAGCAAGAATGCCTCTTCCAGAATTGTGAAATTCATGGCTCCAGGGTCAGGGGTTCTTGTTAAAGGGGGGGGGGGGCTCTACTGATTATAAAGTGAAAATTCATAATTTCTTTCTAAATATTTTTTTCTACTCCTGGTTATAAAACAACTAAACAAGTGTATAGTTATGTATTTTATGTATATATATATATATATATATATATATATATATATATATATATATATATATATATATATTATTGATAAATCATATGATAAATCATTAATTAGTGATAAGAAAAGAAGGATGCTTTTACAAAATTTTTAAAACTTGTGGTCCTAGGGGTTCTGTTGTTTCTCTGAAGGGGGGGGGGGGGGGCTCTATTGATAATATAGTGAAAATGTGTGAATTCTTTGAAAATCTTCAACTAATTGCATAGTTATGATGATGAGGGTACCTCTTCCAAATTTGTAAATTTCATGACCCTGGGTCATCGGTTCTGGTGTTAGGGTAGGGCTGTGTTAAATAGTGAAAATGCATTATTTCTTTGAAAATCTTCTCTGCTCCTGGGCATATTGGAGGCAAACAGAGTAAAAGTTTTAATAAATAAGGGTATTTTTACCAGAATTTTAAACATCTGGACCATTTGGTCAAGTGTTCTGGTCCTGGCCATGGCTGTATTAATTTGTATTATACTGAGTGAAGTTATTCCCCTTTGCCATTCACCTTTGATAATTAATCACTGTAGATAATGTATTTGAAAGTTTAATAGAATAAGAGAATTATGCAAGAACATTAATTGTATAATACAAAAAGTACTTTCATAGTTTTAATGATCAGGTAGATTTGGAAATACTAGATTAAAAAAATGAAACAAAAATAACTTATCTTTTTAAATGTTCTTCAATTAGGCCAAGTGAGGCCAATATGAGAGGTAATAATATGGAGTTAAAAATAGATATTTTGTTAAAAGTCTGCATGGTAATAATGATGAATGGGGGAAAGATAGATAGATACTAGACCAATTATTTTGTTGATCTTAATCGTACTATTTTTCTTGCTTTTGGACAACAAAGCTTCATTTATCGGTTTATGGATCCTCTAAATTGTTGTACTCAGGTGACCGTTAAGGCCCTTGGACCTCTTGTTGTTTTAAAAACAAATCAGTTGAATTAAACTTGTTCATAATACATCTCAGTCTATGAGAACCACTGTCACCACGGTTGCTAATCAACCAGTAAACACCGCTAAGCATGCCCCCTGTAAAGAGTTCTTGAACAGCGGCTGTTCCATTAACGAAGCATACAGTTCAGTAAATATATAATTAAAATAACAGTTAAACAACTAAATTATGCTTTCTATGGCTATTTATACAGACATACAAGGGTTTATCAAAAAGTTCGTGGACTGATGCGATAAAATAAAATTTAATATAAAGGTGCTTACAAAAATTATAAAGAACATTAAACAACAAAAGTTTAAGTAAAATTGAAAATTTTAATTTGATATGTATTTTTTTTATTTAAATGTATCATTAGATATAAAAGACATCCTGTTATCACCCGGCGCTGTTGCAGTTGAGTTTAATGACGTTCGACAACATCATTGCTTCTCAAAGTCCGTTCTCTTGCCTCAGTACACTTTTCTTCACGAGATACTCTGGTATTAAATACTGACCGAATCCCATCCTGTTTATATGACTTTAAAATTTCATGAACAGCTGATTTCATAATACAATAGTGTACAATATTGTAAATAGACCTATTCAAAAAAATGACTTTGTCAGCTTAACTTGTTTGACAGAATTCAATTTCTACCGCACGGGAGCAACGTTCCCTTTCGACGAGACTGACTTTGGACACCCTGTCCGCAAACATACATTAAATATGTCTCTCCCTTTTCTGAATCTTTTGTGTCAGTTAAAAACCATGTAATCTCGACTTATTTTTCTCTCTCCGGCCTGTTTAATGATTTCCAAAGTATAAGCAAGTTTTTTAAAAGTTGAACTATAAACTGTAGCAGAAAGGCACACAGCCCCTCCCCTTTCCGACGTCATTATTAGCCACTAATTTGTTATCACTCTTTATCAAATTTTACGATAAACTCTCACAAAACTGAGAAAATGAGGTAAAAATTGTAAATTTTCACAGAAAAATTGTCACTTCACACAATGTGAGTTAACGAAAAAATTGGAGGACGAATTTTCTTATCAAAACATCTGCCTCCAATAGAGGACTCACGGTAGAAATACGTCTTTTTTGAGGTTGCGCTGCGTAGTCATACCATTGCATAGGAATACATTGACAATTTATTAAATGGCTTATCGTATATCTTATAGTTTATTCTGTAGAGAGAAATGATGATTTTATATAAATTTGTCAAAATTCATTGATTTACCTTAATCGGTTTTAAGCTTATGGCGCCAGTCCACCAACTTTTTGATAACCCCTCGTAAATATATACTTATAAACAATAAAATGCTTTTTGGTTGTTAGTATAGAAATAAATGTGACAGATGTTGCAGAAAAAAGATAAGCCACGTAAGCTGGTTATGTAATTTTTTTCTGCATAGGCAACAACAAATAAAATAAAGACAATTGTTTAAAGGTGTAAAAAAACAAAAACAAAAACAAAAAAAAAAACAACATATACACATTTTTTTCCTAAAGAGCTTTTTTACTTTTAATAAAAAAGTCTTTTGCAAACTATATTCTTTTAATATTCATAAAAATAATTCACAACATTAAAAAAAAATCAGATCCTTTTTCTTTTAAGCATTAATTCTTCGATTTTAAAATGTTCTATTAAGTAGAATGCATATGGTTACGCCCTTACTAAACACAAAATGCCTGTGAGAATAAGATGCTTTTCCTTTCCATCCGAGATGTGCTTTTAATTTTTATATTTTCATATTGTTTTTAGCAAACTGCGTTTCTTGCAAAACGGAGACTTATCAAGTGTTAATATTTTTCACTATATTTCATAGGAAATATAAGGGGGGGGGGGGGGATTTTGCAGGATAACTACGAGAAGAATGTTGAGTATGGTGCTTTTATTCAACTGTAAATTACTATTGAATCAATAGACATATTGAGACATCGTAGGAGGAATAAATTACACTAAATGTTTACATTGTTGTTGAGTTGATTAGTGTTATTAATATGAATAATTAATGTCCTGTTTTAGAGAAGATTTTCAAAAGATTTAGCAATTTGTTGAGAAAGAATCCTTGTATTCCTTATTGTCTTATTGTGACTGACTGTATTTCTAAGTGCAACAAAAAGTGAGCAAATTTGATTCTTTATATATATAATTATTTCAAAGAGACATTGGCTAGATTTCTATTTTTTATTAGTTTTTTTAACTTACCCAACGTTATTTATTTATTTATTTATTTATTTTTTGCCTTTTAATGTGTGTCGACAACTATAGGCAAGTTTTGAAAAGAAAAAGGTCAATTGAACCTTTAAAATTACTGTCATTTACTTTTTTCACAGGTTGTAATGTACTTACAATTCCCTAAAGGGAAAGGAAAATGTTCTTTGTGTGACCAGGAAGAGGTTTGTGTAAAATTTAATCATAATATTTGAAAAGAAAAGTATTTTTAAGTTTTTTTTGTTTTTTTTTATCAAACAATTAGACATTTTTGAAAAATAAATGTAGTATTGTCCAAACAGGTTATGTTTGAATAGTCTTAAATCAACTGCCCTCTTGTGAACTGTCTAAGTAAAACTAAATGTGTGGGTTTTTTTTTTTTTTTGGTTATTTTTTTTTTGTTTGTTTGTTTGTGGGTTTTTTTTTTTGTTTTCCAATTCAAAAGCTTGACATTATATGTGAATTTTAAAATGTAGTTGCTGATTTAATATATAAGACCATAAAAAAAGAAAAATTCTTTGTTACATAGTTCCTTTGTGCAACTAATATTTTTTTGTTTCCAAAAGAAAGACACAGATACTGTCATTCTTCTTTTAGGGGTACCTGTCTTTTATCCACAACTCCTCCTAAACCACGAAATAAAATTTAATGATGCTTTCAGAGAATCTTTAATACATAATGCCATTGTACATTTCTTTTTTTTCACTTTTTGATTACACACACATTTTGGGTTTCCCATAGCAAAACATGGACACTGCTATTCTTTTCGGGGTACTCATGGCCATCCCTTATCCGCTACTCCTCCTATATAATATCACTGAATAACATTTAATGATATTTTAAAAGAATGTTTATTACATGGTGCCTTTGTGCACCTCATACTTTATATTTTGATCAGACAGATATTATGGCTTTTCCTAAGCAAAAAAGGACTGTGCAATTATAATCATATTGAAGCGGTAGTGTCATTTGTAAGCTCAGTGCTCACATACCTTTAATTTGTTTGATATTCAAGTAATTTTTCTTTAATTCTATGTACCATGGACATAGAATGTACATTTAATAATTCAAGCTAATTACTAACATCAAAAATATAAAATTTTACAAATTTTGATTCTTTGAATTTTTTCTGATCAGATTATGATATCTGACACAAGCCAGAAAAAAAAGTAAATGGTTCCAAAGGCTTAATGAAACAGCTGAGCTTTATTTGTATCTTTAACGAAATGAAATTCTTTTCATAATCGCGTATGCCAGAATCGGAAGTTAAAGGGTAATATACAAAAAAGATGAAAATTAACCGATACGCTACCTATGTTATATTTTATTTTTTTTAATATGTTGTAGGTGTATATTGAATTAGCTATCTGCAAACATGGCGCATGTAAATCTTGCGTGATGAAAATGTACAACAAATCAAAGAACGGGTTTGTTAAATGTGAATATTGGCTTTGTGATCAACGTGTTCCTGAGGTGTGTTTGAAAAGAGTTTTCAACGACCAATTACTTCTTAAGGTACATTTTCCATACGTAATAATATAGAAAGAATAATAGTGTTTAAAAGAATTTAAGAACATTTCCAAGAACCTATATGAGGAGAACAAAATAAGACTAAGCTTGTGGACATTGACTAAGGACTTGTTTTTGGCATGTAATTGCATATATAACTTTTAATCATAATAAGACATGTCTTGGATCTGGAAAATTAACACGGCCAAAATATTTTTCGGTTCACTAAGAGATTTCCTATTGTCTTTTACAGTTTTTAAAACCCGAAATATGATTCTTTAAGCATTTTTTAGGTATTTGTGTAACAAATAACTGTTGTTTGTGGGGGAAAAATCGTATAGATAAAAAAGATTGATTCATGTACTTAATGGGCTTGAATTTTGGATGAATGTAAAACAAACGCTTAGTCTTATATTTACTAACGAAAGTATCAATATATATATATATATATATATATATATATATATATATATATATATATATATATATATATATAATTTGGTTTCAGATTGATACAAATTACTTTGATGGTAAGAAAATTTCTGTATCTTTGGCTTCCTCTCTGTGTATTTCGATTACACTTGACAGATGCGCATAATTTTACCATTTTAATATATATATATATATATATATATATATATATATATATATATATATATATATATATATATATATATATATATATATATATATATATATATATAAAAGAGATAAGCAAGAAAGACGATATCACCAGAAAAGTTCAGATCAATCCAGATGACAGTTTAGATGTAGGCAGTTCAAAGGCACTCGATGGTCAGCATGAAACAGACCATATGGAGACAGAAAGAGTTATTGATGTAAGAAATGTTACAATAATTTAGTTGCAAACTTTATTCTCTATCGTGAATTTTGATTTCCCACCCCCTTTTATTCCTCTTTTTAAAACATTTTAATAGTATAGGACTGTTTTTTTTATCCATTGAATTTAAAAGTAATATTTTAAAACGAGATATTTTTCTCCATAAAAATATTAAGAAAAATATTCTTTTTTACTATGACAATATCAAAAGTTCTGCAGAACGAAAGATTTTCATACCCTTTTTGAAATGTGAGAAAATGTACTCCTAGTTATAAGAAAGCAAGAGTAAATAAACCATACTGACACAACCTAAAACCGCCAAATTTTCTAAAAAAAAAAAAAAAAAAAGTTTGGTAATATGAAATTTCAGATAGTCTGTCAATCGCTTAATTATGATTCCAACAAGTCACAACCTCTCAACTATGACGTCACAATGTACGGTACTATTTTTACGAAAAGACCTATGCAAAAGGAAAATAAATAAATAATAATGAACATATTTTTTTGCTTTGTACTTGCTTTGTACTTGGATTTGAATTTACTAGTATTTCACTCGCGAAACAGGATTTTTTTAAAAATCATTTTTCCTAATGCAAATATCAAAAAATCCTTTCTCACTCGAAAAATAAATTCCATATCTAACTACAAAACAATTAATATCCTCTAATTATTATATATTTTCAACGGTTTAATAGCTGTGATTTATCAATTGATAAAAGATTGAGAATTGAAATGATTTGTAATTTTAAAAAAATGTCAAAAGTGATATTTTTCTATGTAAAAAAATATCAAAAGTACGGCAAAACTTTCGAATGTTATGAAAAAAATACTCTCACTTTAAAAATAGCGAGAGACTACATATAATCCTGACATGGACTTAATTTTTTTTTCAAATTTTCATAAAATTCATCTTCACTAACTTCAATCTCACAGTCGTATAGTTTCAAAACTTCTCACTTATGACATCACAGCCTTGACACTGCGTTACAAAATGGCAGAGACAAAATAAAAAATGAAAGGAAATTTGAAGAAAATTAAACTAAACAGAACATTCAATGCCTTTTAGTTGGATATTATTTCTCTCGTGATACCGGATGTTGTTTATATTTTACGCTTACTTTGCACTAAAGAGATTGTAAAAGCAACAGTTTCTGCCTGCGAAATAATTTTAAACATCAAACATCCTCTGAATTTACCGTTTATGTTTAGATGATTACATGTACATGTAACAGTTAAATTGTCACATATCTCTTTAAGAGGCAGTCCACCAGAAAACCAGGCAGTATTGTATTAATAGGCGGCACATCGAATGTGACGAATATTTGATATTTTATTGAAAATGATATTAATGTAGTCCATATGGAATAATGTAAGTAAAGATTTGTTTGAAAATAGCTTATTTACTAAAATATCGTTTTGTTTTGTTTTTTGAATTCCCCTATATAAACCATTGAATGTAGGTCGGAAACAAAGAACTGTAAATTCTAATACATTTTCAACAGATCTATAATTCACTCCAAACTAAATCAAGAAATATTTCATCTTTTAATTTAAAAAATAAAATCAGTGGGAAAAATATTTTCAATAGTAATTTTCTTGCAAAATAGATAGTCATTTTTATTAAATTCTGTTATGAAAGAGTTATCTCCCGTAGCATCGGGAAATCGGCTAAACATCTTACTATCAGAACCCCTATGAGATATTTAGAACTGATACGCTAAAGAATATCATTCAACCAAAAATAATTGGTTTATTTTCAAAAACGGAATAAATTTTCACCTCCAAACATTATATTTAGTTTAAAATTTGCTTTATTATTCAGGTTGAATCCACGATTCCACTGATGTATCAGTGACGTCAAATACCTATCTAATATTGCGTCACAATAGTTGCAAATATTCCGCAGAAGTTGGTAAATTTATGTAAACGTGCAAAGAAAAAGATTTTTAAAAAGTTAAGTTAAATAATTTCTCTTTTCTGTCCAATTACTTTTCCGAGTGCATTAAATAATATTGTGATCCAGAATGTATTTTATTCACGGGCGTTGCCTCAGCTATAAATGTTTTAAAACAAGTCAGTGTTGATAGGTAATTCTATACATGTACAAAACGTCTTTACAGTAATCATAATAGATTATATAAATTGTTTTATTTTTTTAAATGAGTTAATAGCACATGCATATACTGGTATTTTATAATTCCTAAAAATAATTTTTCTAGTGTAATTTATTATGAACATTTCTGATAAAACTGGGATGTGAAAAGATTAAGAATTATTTCTTATTATTCAGTAATGATGAATATTCCAGATTAACGCAACATTAAATTCAGCAAAGTCGATGTGTGCACTTCATGAAGTGTTGTTAATACTTGAATATGTTAACTTATATGCAATAATATCAAATATGCAGTCAGCATTATACGATTGCTCACGATCGACTGTCGGACCGAATAAGTAAGAACGGAAGTACTCCTCACATCCCACTTCACTAATTAGCAATAATTGTTTACTATTAGTGCGGTGGTTCAGATTCTGTTTAGACTTTAATCTTTTAAAAATGTTAAACCTGAAATAGAAAAAAAAGCTATAGAAATCTATAAATTTACTACTTAATGAGGAAAATGTTGCCAATACTACTGCTGGATGCCCCACTTTAAGCTGACACTAAAACGGCAGATGATTCAATGGAACTTTTTTTTATTTTCGTTTTTAAAATTTGACAATTGTTCCACATATCCTTATACTTTATATGGAGTTAAAATAAGTCAGTAGGTTGGTAAATTTCCAAAATATCCCATTATTATCAAACCAGTTACAAAACGGATGCCGCCCAGACGACCCCCCCCCCCCCCAACCGATTTTTTTCTGGGCTCCATTATCATGATTATATGTATGTAAGTGTACAGGTTTTTTTCTTATTTATTTCAAGTTAAATTTCTTAGAGCAGGAAAATATTCCTTAATATGATGAATGGATGAAAAAAATTGGATTAAAGCCGAGGCTGTACACATAAAAAAAAATACTTGCTGGATTAAAGTACGTGCATGTATAATTTCGTCACTTTTTTTTTTTTTTTTTTTTTTTTTTAGATTTTCTTTTTAATCCAGATAATTTAAAAGATTATTTTTCTTGGAAATGAGATATCTTATTATTAAGCTTAAAATTTGCTATTAATTGTTGCATGAAATAAATATTTTTTTTTAGGTGTGTATCAAGAAATCAAACAGATGTTTTACAAGTAATTCAAAAGATCTTCATGGACCTGAAAAACATTTAGTAATTAAGATATATGTAATCTATGGATAACATCATCTAAAACCATGTAACATACAGAAAAGAAATAAAACACAGACATATTCTTATGATAAAATACAACGAAGAGCGATTTTAGAAAACATTTCTAATTTTTAATATAGAAACCAATCCCGATTGAAATAAAACCGATCCCGATCGAAATTAATGCATAATTTTTAAGTAATAAAATTAATGGTAATTGCCACCTAGAAAACATGTTTAAAAAAAATCAAGTAATTTGTAAACCATATTGAAACAAAACAACCAAATTTCATGATGAAATCATAGTAGCTTTCTTCATTATATAATTCCGGTCGGAATCGGTTTAATTTGGATAAATTTATGAAAAGTAGATAATTTGACGCCTCTTATTTCACTCAATATACCTGTTCCCACCAATTTTTTTAAATTGATTCAACAATTTGTACTTTGAATTCATAATAACATGAGGAGAAAGTTCTGACATTTCAATGTATTGGATTTTAGAACGTAATGAAAATTGGATAGTGACTTCATTAAGTCACTTGCTTAACTGAATTTTTTTTAAAGAAATATAAATTGGTGTCTTATTCATTGATATTATAAAAGATAAGGGTTTATACTATAAATAATATTTATTGACATATTCAGTTTTTGAGTATCTGTTTCAAATAAAACAAAACAAAAACGTAGTAAATTTTTAACCAACTTGTTGACCTTTTTGCACTTAAAATTAAGCACTTACCAAAAATAGAACTAGAGGAACACTAAAAAAAATTTGATGTTGCCATGTGTAAACATTTGCTTTTATAAGTCTACATGCGAAAAATAATTAAAATCCATGACATGTGATGTGCCACCCATTGCCTGGTTTTTTGGTGGACTGCCTCTTAAAATAAAAAGATGTCGCCATGACGACAATGTTCTTTTTTTCATTAATAGTTGCTTTGTCCATCATATGGAGAAAGACTGTCTTGCAGCTATTGTTCCAGAATGGTATCAAAATCTTTAAACTGAATGACTAAAGCACACATTTTTAAAAGAATATTTCGTTTTAGTTAAATTTGAAAAGATAATGCTGGATTGTGTACCTCTTTTCATACACATATTTAAACATATCTATTGATAAATATAACTAAATACAGGCTGTCATAAAGTTTTCTGAGTGTCGCCATGGTTGGTGTTTACGATGCCTCAAATTCTTGACCAAAACTCAAAAAGATGACAAAATGCATTGCAAATATTGCACATCGTGTGGAAGCATTGGAAATGTTAGACGATTCATCAGAAACTGTGAAACAGATGGATTGTTGGTAGGTAACAAATTTTCACCTTTAGGCTACGTTAAGGAATGTCTGATTTCACATTTATAATACACCCAATAGCAAGTATCATTGTGACATCATTAAAAATAAAAAAAAAAGAAAACTAAACTAAATTTAACTTCATGATGATACGCAAATAAAAGGTTTCTGGAATGTGTTTTATCTGTTATTCATTGAAGAATTCAAAATTTTACAATTTGATAACAATACTGTAAAATATTTAGAACCAAATGCCGTGTTTTTATGACGTCATTCGCCTTGACTTGACGTAGTACGGGTTTTTAAGAGGAATAGATCGATAGCGTAAATAAAGTAAAAAAAAAAAAAAACATGCCTAATTCATCTGAAAAAAAGACATTTTTTTCATGTAAAATTCCGTGAGTATATATTAAATTGATCAAGCCGTGTCACGAGGCACAGTAATAATTAATGCAAAGAGAATCACTAATACGATAAGCATATTCCACATAAACCTCAAAATGCAATGGCATGGACTGAACTGTTTAAGCTAAAGTATGGAATACCATTTATTGCTTACATAGTATATTCTATAAAAGTGCTTGGAGTTAAATTTTGTCTTAGTTGACATGAGTCAAATGCTTAAGTGCGCTTTTCTGATCTCATTTTGACCGGCATTCGCCTGTCTGTCCGTTTGCAACTTCTTTTAAAGAACCACTGGGCCAACTGCAATCAAACTTGCCAAAAAGTAACCACTGGTTAAGAGGATTCAAGTTCGTTCAAATGAAGGGCGACACCATCTTCCAATGGGAGATTATTACGAATAAGTGAAAAATAATATTTATCGCAACCGACTACGAGATGGCTAAACTCGCGTCTATAAAGAATTCTATTGCTTGATGCTACAACTCCATATCATTGGCCATTATTTGAAGGGAAATTTTGAAGGGAAAGTTGTCCCGGAGAATGGACTTATGAGCTTGAATAAAGCTTGGTATTCATACTTCATTTAAAGAAATTATTAAGATAAAATTTCTCATTGCCTTCCACAAAGCAGAACTAATATAAATGATTCGTATTTTAAATGATATTTTAGGATGTATTTATTAGCTCACGTAAGCCGAAGGTTCAACATATTTTATTTTTCTATTGTCTCTCGGTGGTAGTTGTCGTCGTTGTAAACTTTCAAAATATAGTGTGGTTTTTTTTTCTCCAGTACCACTGAGCCTACATTTCGTCCAAAGCAGTATCGGGGAAAGGGACTCAAGTTACATCAAATAAACGGTTGTGTCTATTTTTATTGGGACATAAAAATAAATGAGGATAATTTTAATGCATCATTTAAAAATCTTCTCAAGAAGCACTAGACTGAAAAGATTAAATTAATTGCAAAGCATCTATACTTATAAATTAATAAATTTTGCAAATAAACTCCGATACGGGGGTACCAGAGTTCTTACTTACTCCTTTAAGAATACACACGATACAAGATGATGTCCGTAAACTATATTTAGATTTCACTTACATTGTAAGTATCGTACATTAAATTTAAAGTTTACTTTTATTTTCTATAAACAGCCATGAAATAGCAAACACATGAGTACGGTGGCGTTTTCGGTTGGCGGATCTAAGTTACTGGAATTTTAAATGAAACTGGCAACAAGCAATCGTATATTTGTTTCATTAAACGTCATTACTGAATTATTCAATCAAAACTTGATTTCAATGATATAAAAGAAATAAGTTGTGATAACCGATTAAAACGGAAAATGTGCAAATCATTTTCGTCATTCACCGATCTTAATATTGACGGAAGCTTCCAGATCATCATATAGCATCGAGCCCGATGTTAAAAAGAAAATAGCTGCTTTAACATAAAAAAGCTTTTGTGTGAATGGCCATTGAAATAATGGTAAATCATTGATAACACTAAGTTGTGAATATATTTATATATCGAAAGACTATTACATATATTTAGTAAGTTTTCCTAATAAATTTATCGGTAAAATTTATATTCCTCACTTAGAGCATCGTGACAACGAACCCGAAGTACAATTTGGACTTCGTGATAAACCTGGTTACATGAAAAGAGAAAAATAATGAATAAGGCATTGTTCAAATACAATTATGCTGTTAAATTTTGTACTTTAATCAATACATTTCGTTTTTTTTTTCTGAATACAGTCGTTTGTCTCAAATACTCGGCCTATTCCAGTGGCGGATCCAGGAATTTTGAAAAGGGGGGAGGGGGCGACCAGTTTGGGGTCGGGGTAGGGGCCCACGGACAAAAAAAAATTGATTCATTATATTCTATGTATATTTTGGAAACAACACGGGAGTGGGGCGCCCCTCCTCTAAATCCGCCAGAGTATTCATAGAGCGTTATATATAAAAGCTAATTTTTACACAGGTACTTGGGTCTTGGATTATAAATATGTGTGTACCTTATTGATATGTAAAAAAGAGGTAAGGTACAGTTTTTACATATCAATTAGGTACATACATATTTATAAACTAAGACCCAAGTACCAGTGAATTCTTACCCCAAAAAATCAATTTCTTAGTAAAATGTGCATTTCTTGACGGAAATAAATAAGAGTATCTGAAGTACAATATCCAAAACACAGTATATACAATATCCATTACATAGTATATAACAGGTTTCACAATAAACGTCAATTAATGAAATTGTTATGTAAGTTTTACAAAGGGGGTGAGGTGGGGGTGGAGACGTACTTCAACTTTATGCGGGATTTTGAACAAAGTATATTTCTTCCTGCTATAAGCCTGTAGGCTGTCAGTAGAAACTACAATATATATACATGTATTATTGGATTTTTTTTCTGTCGGTAGTGGTATAAATTCAATTCCCCGCGCTTGCGCGGGATTTCATCTAGTTAAAACATACTTTTCTATAGGATAACAAAACCCTGTATTGTCACATCAATAGGGAAGCATACTCAGACAGTGCAGATTCAAGTTTGTTCAAATCATGACCCCTCCCCCCCCCCCCCCCCCCGAGTCCCCCCCCCTCCGGGAAAGGCTAGGTTAAAAATAAGCAAAGTTTTACTATAGACTGCATAGCAAAAAAGTCTTGAAAAATCTTCTTCTAAAGAACAGCAAAGTCTGCAGTAACCATAGTGTCATGTATATTGTAGCATCCTCTAATAGTGTAGATTCAAGTCTGTTCAAATTATGACCCCTGGGGATAGGATGGAACCACAGCAGGTGACCAAAGTTTACATAGGAATATAAGAAAATAAACATCTGCTATTGAAGAAAGCAGGGCGAGGGTGACTCGTGCGAAAACTGTGGCCTAAGGGTCTTTTGTTTGGGATATACACTGTATGACTGGTTGAGCCCAGTATGTAACTTTTTACTTTATACAGCTTCTTGGGATACAATTTGATGGTAAAAACAAAGTAGCACAAATTATCTGTAATGATATTAAACTGATAAAACTCCAGTGACATTTGTAAATTTTTTTTTTAACTAAAAAGTCTGTGTTCTTGATACTTTTTAAATAAGATATCTAAGCATTTTGCATTACAAATGTGAAAAGGACATACATTGTTGCCAAGTGTTGTATTTTTCTATAGTATGTAGAGAGACTTTTTCAAAGTGTGCTTCCCTAGGTCAGCATATAAAATTCAGTGATTAAATGACTTCAGATTCAAAGAACTTTTTCGGAGAATTAAGTGATTTTTTTTCCAAAACTCAATATATATATATATATATATATATATATATATATATATATATATATATATATATATATATATATATATATATATATATATATATATATATATATATAATTATTATTATTATTATTATTAAGATCTTCTACTGATTCTGTTGTTTCTTTTCCACTATTATTATTATTTTTTTCTTTTTTTTTTCTTACCGATTTTATGCAGGCGATTTCTCGAGAACGCCTCAATCAGCAATGACGGCAAATCATCTGAACTTAGGGCTTTTTTTTTCGTCGTCACTTCCGGTGGCGAGATACAGCCAATTTTCTGTTTTTAAAGTTGCATTTTGTCCGCAAGTGTTCTCAAAAACGCTTAGAGATTGAGTATTGAAACTTTCAGGGATGATAGATTGTGACTCTTAGATTTGAATTTTCTGTTTGGTTTTTGTTGCCGTGACGTCCGTTGTCCACCGGAAGTAGTTTAAATATATGCAAATTTTTATTTTTTTTCTTTTTGAAATGTTCATAATAGAGGAAAATCGACTGTTTCGAGTCATATTATTTCCATCTCAAGTTATTTCTTCCGAACCGGAAGTACTCGAAAAAATGCTCATTTTTCCTCGAAACTTTGAGGGATGATTTCTTCACACTCAGTGAGGAGATAAAGGTCATTTTAAGTACTTCCGGTCATACCGGAAGTGAATGAAAAGACCGGAAGTTGTTGAAATTGATAGATTTCGCTCTTTTATGTCTTGCTAAACATATTTTGAAGAATTGATGTGAATATTTCTTTAAATTTAAAGTTGTTTCACTTTGTTTTATCATTCAACCTTTTCCAATTAAGATCTTATCAGAAATCTAACGGAAGACCTACTCGTTGCTCGCAATGAGATCTCATCTAGTTATTATTATTATTGTTATTATTAAAATAGCAGTAAATATTTCGCTCTTCTTCCATAAATGTCTGTAAAAGTGCATGGTGATGTATGGTTTTGTCATATCCACTTTAGCCTGTTAATGTCCTTTTTTGTATTTTGTTAAGGATAATAAAGAAGTAAATTATTACTTAAGATATTTTGCAATCTACAAGCACAAATATCTTATTTTTTAATTTACAATAATCAAATTGATTGGATAATTCGACAGGTTCCTTCTTATCTTAAACCAATAAGTGGAACTACATCATGTTACCTTTGCAGAAAAAGAGAGGTATATATATCATAAAAAATTCATTGTATGTTATAGTAAAGTATATTGTATCTGAAAAAAAAAATTATATACTGAGATTCACTGACATCTGGTGTTGTAATGACACAATTTAAAATACGTTGTCATTTAATGCTATATATAGGCAATACTGGAAGGAACTGAATGTGGACACAGGTTTTGTGATTCCTGTTTGAACTTAAGCACCAGACTTCAAATGATGACTTCAAAGTGCCCAGCATTGGGATGCGAATCTGTTGAATATTATCAAGCAAATGAAAAGAAAGGCAAACAAATTGCAGTAAATATTATCTTTGAGAGAGAGAGAGAGAGAGCGAGAGAGAGAGAGAGAGAGAGGAAGAGAGAGAGAGAGCTGTGCAGTTTCGTATATTGTGTGATAAATTAAAGTTTGTTAGGTCATCTGAGTCGCTGAAATGACGTATTGCTATCTTTTTTTTTGTCCGTCTTTGTCCTTTGTCTGTCGTGCGTCATGCATCATTTGTAAACTTTGGAACTTTTTCAGTTTTTTTTTACTTGACCTGCTGAACCAATTTCAACCAATTTTAGCACTAACATCAATTGGTCAAGGGGTACAAAAATTAGATAATTGCATGATCCCTGTGCCATGCATCCTGGGGGGCTGGGCTAAAACCATCAAATTAAGCGCTATCTTTAAAAAATCATCTTCAATCTCGGACATCATGCAGTCAAATTGTTGACATGATATTGATAAGCATTAAGCCCTATAAATATTTGTGAAATTCATAATCCTAGGGTCAAGGATTAAGGAGTTTTAGAGCTATAATGATCATGTAGTGAAAATTCGTAAATTCTTTAAAAATATTCCTTTCTTTCGTACATGTATATTAAGAAAAATATGCACAAAAGTGCCCTTTTCAAAATTTTTCAAAATAGCGAATTGAATTTGTCCTTATGTAAAGGGGCCGCGTGAATCTGTATTGAATATACATTATTCATTGAAAATCTTCTCATTAAAACTAAAATTGTAACACACGTATATGTGCATATTTAAACAAAACTGTATTTTATGTGTATATATACCAATGTCTAAAGTTTCAAGGCATTTTGATTAAAAATAAGAAAGTTATTGAGATTTTGGTCCCAGCCAACGGCCATATTGTTTTGTCTTGACTACTAAAATTTTGCTTTTGCAAAGTGCAAGGTACTTTATAAAAGAAAATACGAAAAAGAAAGCTACTTTAGTTATATCCGGCACTTATTTCATCGCATGCACATGCACGTTCATGCATGCGCGCGTAAAATGACCTTTGTTCCGAACATCTACACAATCAACCATAAAAAGATTTCATCTCAATCGGATAGTTCTCGAGAACATTTGCGGACCAAAAAGTATCGGAGAAATAATATTAATAAACGAAGCCAAACTATAATGTTTCAAATATTCTTTGGGGGAACATAATTATTCAAGAATTCTTATAATATAATTATAGTAAAAAGTCCATAGCTTTCAATGATCAGTTCGAGTTGTAATTAATAGATACTTAAAGAAACAAAAATGTCTTATCTTTGTACATTAAATTATCCTAAAGAGCAGAAGAGGACAATGTTTGAGGGAATGAGATTTTTGGTATATAGTATTCAATAACAATTAATGTTTTGTTTAGTCAGAATGGTGATAGTGACAAATGGGGCAAAACAGGCAAGTAAATAAAACTATTTTAAGATTTGTTACTAAGCATTAGACTATTTTTAATGGTTCTTGATCATCCTTTTTCTCTTGCTTTTGGGCAACATACATTCATCTCCTCCAAATTTATTTTCTTTTACATTATATCCAATTTATGGATCCTTTACAATGTTGTGTTATATTCAGGTGACCGAGTAGGCCATATGGCCTCTTCTTTTTTTTTTTTTTTTTTTTTTAGATTCAACCATCCAAGTGTGTTTGCTGCTCAAAAATGGAGGTATGTGAAAATTGTAAATGAATATTTATACTCCCGAAAGCGATTTCTTTTTTTTTTTTTTGGGGGGGGGGGGGGGGTTGTTGGAATGATCTTCTCTCTGTCTGTCTCTTTACCTGCATGTCTCTGCTTATGCAAAAGTGTTCTGATATATCTTTTAAATAGTGAAACATTGGAAGATCGTGCTTGACATAAACGTTGCTTTTGACCTAAGAATTTTCATAATCTTGACTTCTGATCATTCTGGAGAGAATAAAATCACTGACAGAAAAAATAGGAGATTCGTGCCCGGTGTCTTATATTGAGGCTTCCCCCGTAGTGATACTTCCCCCGAAGGCTGGCTATGTATTGATACTTTCTCCCGGAAGACTGGTTATATATAGTAAAACTTCTCACGGGGACGTCTCACTATAAATCCAGTCTTCCGGGGAGGGGGGGGGGGTCTCGCTATATAGCAAGTAATCCCCTTCATAGCGGAACTTCAACCTAGAAGACAGTTTCCAGATTAACTTTTTTTTCATTGTAAAACATTATGCTATATATACTCTTTCATCGTTTGAATATAATTTTCTGTCATATGAATTAATAATTAAATCATCTTAATACAGTTTGTAGCCACATATAATTTTGGGATTACTTGTACTGATAAGTGAGATAATTGCATGAAAGAAAAATGTACGTATATATACATTATTGTTGCAAGTATACATCTTTACTAAATTGTATGACACTTTTCATGTCTAGTAGAGAAACAGAGGGTGTGAGAAAGTTCATATATTATTAAAAGATTGCTTTATCATGTTCATATTTAAAGACTTGTCGTTATCTGGAATCAATGTCTTTTGGTCAAGTTTAATGTCAATTTTGGGCAAGTTTAAAAACCTGTCTTTACCAGTGTTTGTGATTAAGAAACATTGGAAGTTAGTCTTGATATAGAAACGGATTTTGTTGATATGGTGGGTCATGAACTTGACATACATGTAAGTACATTTGAGCAAGTTTAAGGTCATTGGAAGAAAAGTGCACGCTTTGTGTGTATGTGGGTTTTTTTTTTATCTCGGTTGGATAAAAACTGGGATTTTTATACTCGATATGAAGATTTCTCATTATTTAAGAAGTGTCGTGATCTTGACATGTCATTTGAGACAATTCAATGTTACTAGCAGAAAAGAGTAAAATTCGCGCCTAGCCTAACCTCTTTAATGGCTAGGTATTTGATGTTGATACTTCAAACAAATACTAATCGTAAGTTGATTGTAGGTCAGAACCTTTACTCAAAGCCATTTGGAAAATTTAGGTCCAAACCTTTACCCAAGGTAAAATAGAAAAAATAAGGTCCCTCGCAGAAAAAGGGTCCTCTTCATAACTTCTTTTCATCTCCAGAAATATAGGTTCATACTTCCTACAAATATTACGTCCGACCAGAAATTCTTGATTTTTTTTTTCTATCAAAGCCCAAAGGCAAGTTAATTTTTTTTTTTATTTAAGGAATGAATTTAATAGCTACCCAATTTATACGGCATAAAGTGGGTTGGGACAGTTTACGCTTTATAAACCGCGAAGCGGTTTATAAAAAAGCGTAAACTGTTCCAACCTAGTTTATATACCGTATAAATTGGGTAGCTATAAATTTCATTCCTTATAATTTAATTTTCTTTCATTTAGTGATTAGATGATTGTCCTTAAAGAATTACTTCAAATCGTATAAAATTTAAATTTAACGTCAGGCGAATCGATACGTTTTTGACGCAAGTCATTGTGACGTAGGCAACCCAATTTATACAATATAAAGTATTTTTTTATCCAATCAAATACCGCGTTATAACCAGAATTAAATTATTTAATATTGGTTTTAAGGGAAAAAAATATCTTGGGCAAAAGTAGACTGTAGCGGGGAATATAAATTTGTAAGCTAGTAGACCTCATGTTAATGCTTAGTTGAAATATGAAGTAGATGTTATCAAAAAATGAAAAAACAAGGTTTTTTTGAAGTGTATAACTGTATTAAAAATTAATTTTAGTGTGTTGTTCCTTTTATAGGCAGCTGATCTGATGACGGAATGCGGCCATGCTTCATGTAAAAACTGTATCCAAAGTATATTTCCTTGTCCAATTAAAACCTGCAAAAGCTTCATCGATAGCGCAACCTCAGAATTTTTGTCAAAACACATAATCAGCAATAAGGTTTGTTAATACAATAAATACAAGGTCCGAGAAGTTGCGAATGAGTATTGCATTTTCAGTTCTACTGGCAAGTGTTATATAGTTCTTATAAAAAAAAATGAAAATGGCATAATTCTTTCAAAAATCATTCGGATCGAAATGAAAACTAGTTCTGTAACTTATCGGTAGGCCATACCAAGTTTTTTCTCCGTTTAGCGTCCATCTATCTTTCAAAAACTTACCTACCTATTCACAAAACACACACACATACACACACAAGCCAAAAAATAAAACGCAGACTTAAAAGTTATAAAAATGACTTCATTTACGGGATTTAATTTCATAAATATACATTTCTCGTAAATAGTGCTCTATTCTTTTACTGAAAATGGCAATAAATGCTTATTATATACCTAATATGAAACATTGTGGACAGATCAATGAAGAGAACGACAGAAATCAAAGATTAGTCAATAATAATTAAATCCAGCACTTCTAATTCTGTTTGTTTGTTTTTTTTTTTGTTTTTGTTTTTTTTTTTGTTTTGTTTTTTGTTTTGTTTTGTTTTTTTTTTTTTGTTTGTTTGTTTTTGTTTTTGTTTTTTTTTTTTACCGATATTGAGTATGAAAAACAAAGGCAACTTCTCGGGCCTTCCTGACAAACGGAAAAACAATCTCGAATATGTAAACACCTATGACAACCTCCCTTTTCATGGTCATTGAAATATATGTTTCATAATCTCTTATCTGTGTATAGCCTTTAGCTATTGAATTGAACTGTATTGAATGTCAGGATATTTCATAAATATACTTCAAATGGGACTCTCAGTTCTGCCTATCCAATACTTTACCTAGGCGTTGGAAGCAAATTTGAAAGTTGGGGGGGGGGCTAATTGAAAATGGGGGGGGGGTTAAACCAAAAAAAAGGTAACCCCCAATTTTCAATGCTATATTACTTGTATATCTTTGCAAAAAAAAAAGTGTGGGGGCTAAGCCCTCCCCCCCAACCCCCAGCCCCCCCCCCCCCCGGGTACAACGCCTATGCTTTATTCAATAGAAAAGGACTCATTTTGAATAAAAATGTTATATCCGGTGATGTAAATACATTCGATGTTTTTTTCCCCGAGCTTACCGGAAAGACACGAGAAAATACAATTCATGCAGTACAATCGGAATGTTTGTTGTATAGGGTCCTTAGGTTCAAATATTTTGATAAGAACTTTTATCTTTTATAAATGATAAATATAACAATAAGAACTGAAACTTATTTTGACCTGTTTAACAAAATTAAGATTCAAAAAATGACTATTTTATTTGATATATATACATGTACATGTCCATTTTATACATGTTTGCTTAATTTTTTTTTTTTTGTTTTTGCCTGAACTGAATATTATTGTAACATTATTTTTTCCTTATAACGCATTACAAATTCTATATATATATATATATATATATATATATATATATATATATATATATATATATATATATATATATATATATATATATATATATATATATATATATATCCTTGGTATCTCTCTCTCTCTCTCTCTCTCTCGGTTAATATGCAAACCTAACACGACATTTGGACTCTAGAAAAGAACCTTCCTACAATAGTTACTAACCGGGATAATTTTTATCACCAAATGGTTTGTTTGTTTGTTTGTTTGTTTGTTTTTTTCTTTTGTTCAGTTAATTCAAGCTTAGATTTCATTCTTTTTCTTAGGGCATGTTATTTATTGGTAAACAAGTTAAAACTCGAGATGTCTGTTGTATGTGTTCTGGGGATCAAAAAGCAAGCAAGGTAAGAATGCAATCTAATTAAGAAATAAGGTATCATTTTTAAACATCTATCGGGATATAAATACGGGTTGGTACGAGATCAAATTTACCATAAAGCCCTTCGGGCTTTATGGAATTTGATCTCGTGACCAACCCGTATTTATATCCCGATAGATGTTTAAAAATGATACCTTATTACTTATATTTACATTTGTGATTTATTCATATTTTATATTTGCCTGATTATAATCTTTAACGCGTGAAACGTTTTATTTTTCAAACCCAACGGCACGTGTTTGATCCTCTGATTGCGCGTCGACCCTTTATGACGTCACTGAAAAATTACGTCGAACGTTTATGACGCAAGGAACCCGTGTTTATACGGATATAGATACGCATTGCTTTCAATAGTGTTATATAAAAAAAAAAACATTTGCAAATGTAAATATTAGCACATACTTTTAGATTTTGTATTATTTACACGTGTAAATACCTTATTTAATAGATAAATGCTTAGCTTAAACATCTGAAGGATCAAGTCCATTCAAGATATCTACACTATTTTATACTCCTCATAGATGCAACGAGTAATAATGATTTACTTCGTCGATACTACCATCACCCTAGCTTCTTTAATTTCATATCGATTCAAAATTTTTAAGGATATGTTTATTTGAAATTCATTTCTTTAGCTTAAATATGTTGATACTGAATAAAACCCAATTTTAAGCAGCAAAATGTTTTGATTGTTTAGATTCTTAGCAATAAAAGCACTGGTCATGCTGACAGAGAGATGACTTTGTCGTTTTGTTTTGAATAAGAAAGTAAATTTTATTTGCCATTCATTCATGTGACTAAACTTTTTTTATATAGTAAATTTGTTATTCTACGTGTATAATAATGATCTATTCATTCAAAAAGTAACATACCCTGTCGCAATTAATAAATTGTTTGACAAGCAACAATTTATAACGAATAATGTATTTTTTTTTTTTATATATTATGTCCTTTACAGCTTAATGTTTTTTTGACTTTGTACAGAGTGAAGAAGTTGTGCAGATTCGAAGATGCAATCATCTTATTTGCACCAATTGCTTAACAAAACTTAAAGAAAAGTGCAAGGGAACTGGAATATCTACTTGCCCTTCTGATGGTTGCTTGGAATTATTCTTTATACCCCAAATGGCGCCATCTCAATTACAGGTATTATTATAAATGTGAGACACAATTATAAACTTCCTGTAACTACATCAGTTAAGGCACTTAACTGATGTAGTTACAGGAAGTTTAATGTATGTTATATTTTAAGACATTTTGAGACATTTTTTTTTTCCTAAATCGAATTCTTTTTTTTTTCTAACTAGACAGAAGATTATATTGGATCTGAAGGTATGTAATGTTAGAACAATAAGATATCAAGTGCAAATGTTTAGCTTTTGTACATGCATTTGCACTTTCCAATAGCAAAAAATGATTTAAAAATCAAAGAAAATTAGATTGGCATTAGGCAGTAATCTGGGCGCACTTGAAAAGTGAAAATTTCATTGATATGTCACTTGATATTTTAGCATTCTTTTGATGTATCGGGTTCCTGTGAAATAGAAAAGGGGGATATTTTCTTGATATTGTGTTTAGATTTGCTTAAAATAACTTGAAAATTTGCTAGAGAAATCATTTTGTACAAAATGTTACATTTTTAAACACGTTTTTCTGAAAGTTTGCTATTTCTGGGTGATCTCTCCATGATTTTGAAACGTAATTTGTGTGCATTTTAATTCAAAGAAACAAACAGACATTTAAAAAAAAATTGAGAGAAGACCCAGAGACCATAAAAAATTAACTTTTTCGAAAAAAAAAAATTCCGATTGTAAATGCGGTGCTTCATTGTCGTTTTAACATCCCTATCATGTGTATAGCGATGATAGCTCAGAAGCGTGCGTTACCTGTCCAGTGCAATGGAATCGAAAATTTTTGGTTCGATCCTTACATGCAGCGTATTTTTTTTTTAAAGCAACCATCAATTCTTTTATTAGTTTAATTTAATGTGTTGTTTTATTTTAAAATGAATATATTCTGGTTCTATTGCACCAAGAGCGAAACCAATTGTTCCAACCTACTGATACTTTAATATACAAATGTACTTGTAATTGCATGTAACTATGCCCTCATTATCTGATAGGTTTCATTATTTATGTGAAGTTTTACTGTATTATACAGTGTAGTAATTATTAAGATAAGCGGACTTAAATATAACAATTTGACAAGATATTTCAATCGAAATGTAACATTCTCTTATGTGCGTAACTATGGAAAGTCTGTCCAGCTGTGGTCAGCCGACCAAATCGTGGACATTTAAACTATAAATGTTTCGTTCAGATGATTCCTGCAGTTAATACGCTAAATACGCCCATCTTCTTTGAAAAAAATGACACCTTCAGCCAGAAATATATAATGAAATATGGAGATAACAAACAGCATTCAGGCTCAGAAGTCCAATCGAACAATGCAAATCAGGAACAGTGCAAACATGGACTTCTATATCATTAAAGGTGGGATCAGGTGCCCTGGAGGAGTGAGTTTCCCTGCCGCCAGGTCACATACTATATGTGCTCCTTGTCATGATTGAAAAAACGGGAAAACCTATGACTGTGTAAATAATTGCGTAACAATAAATATGAAAAACGCTCATCAGCATTTGACTTAAAGATAGATTGTATTTGCTGACAAGGTCGTTGAGATAGCTTTAACGTTGAAATGTTTTTTATGAATGTTTTGATGAAATACTTTGGAAATCAGTTTCAGTTGTCTGAAAGTATAAATACCTATCAGTGAGTTGAATTCTGATTAGCTACATGTAATACATAAATGGATGTTGCTTTTTTTGAAAAATTCTTTGAAATTTAATACATACAGTAAGCATCAAGTACGAAGGTCAATCAAACAATACGTAGAAATACCGCTCTATATATTATTTTTTAAGAAATTCAAGATCAACATACATGTAACATCGGATGTAAAACTTTTTTTATTGATGTGAGAAGTCGCATTATATTTTACTAAGTGGAACTTATTTTGGATTATTTTAAAATCAACATATATTTTCGCCAGGGAGGACTCTTATCAACGTAACGTCAAAAACACATAACGCCATGAAATTCTCCCTTCGATTCCTCTTCAATGCTCACATAGTCTGTTTATTAAAAAAGTTTTTTTCTACCACCTCATACTTAGTTTCCTAATAGTAATTTATGTATTTAGATGATTTCTCAATGACTTCAATTTTTATTTTACCGCGTAACTCAGCTTTCACTGGTTTCACAGCTATGAAGCGGACATCCCTTTCTATGACTTTTCAAAATGTTTTGACCAGATTTTGAGGCCGTTCATTGTCTAATACTGCTAATACTGTCTCAAAAGTAAAAAAGAAAAATATGACATTTATTCACAAATGCACTTCATATATATATATATATATATATATATATATATATATATATATATATATATATATATATATATATATATATATATATATATATATATATATATATATATATATATTTATTAAACAAATATAAAAAGAAAACACAAGAATCCTCCGTAAAGCTTTAGCGCTTTCATTAAAAATCTTCAGAAGCTTTACATTACAAAAATGTAATGTATACAACGGTAACATAGTAACATAGTACTTAGAGAGGATGAACAAACGAAAACTACATACAAAAACTGTCGTTTTATCAGCAGTAAACGTCAGCCCAAAAACCTTAAGAGAATACTTTGTTCCTCCCAATTCGCTGACCATAATTATACAGTGTCAAAGTGTACGGACCCTCGCTGCGGCACATGTGACTACATTACATAAGGGACGAGTTATAGTTTTAAGGGGCGTGAATTTAAAGTTAATGCCAACATGTCATGTGATACGAAAGATGTCATATACGCCATCATATGTCCTGGATGCAAAGAATATTATATTGGTGAAACTGGCAACAGTCTCCGTGCCCGTGTACGTGTACATAAGCAACACATTAGTACACCTGAGTATAGACAAATCCAGTTAAGTGCACACCTGGAAACTTGTGGAAAAAACGATTTAACATTTTCCCTTTTTATAAACTCAGATGTGCCAGTGATATCCAGAGACGGGAAAAAGAAAAACATTTTATTTGTATTCTAAAGCCAAAACTTAATAGTCTCTTATAAACTACCTATGATTTTCCCGAACTTTTTCATCATCATTGCAGTATTTTATCCATGACGTCACAATATAGACATTAAACGTTCCGCTTAGTTTAACGTCATAATCATTGTTACTATGTTACCGTTGTATACATTTTTGTAATGTAAAGCTTCTGAAGATTTTTAATGAAAGCGCTAAAGCTTTACGGAGGATTCTTGTGTTTTCTTTTTATATTTGTTTAATATTGTAATCCGATTACTGAGACTTTATTTCAATTATATATATATATATAAATATATATATATATATATATATATATATATATATATATATATATATATATATATATATATATATATATATATATATATATATATATATATATATATATATATATATATATATATATATATATATATATATTAGGGATGTCAACGAGTACTCGATCGAACGTCCGAGTATCGAATACTAAAATCGGTACTCTGTTACTCGGATGTATATTTTTTCATATTTCAAAGTGCATATTTTTATAATAAACTTATCACAAAATGTTATTCAAATACGCACTGTCCAAAATGTCTATACAGTAATTAGAGCCACCTTCACCAGTTTCATACTCGTTATCGCCTGTGGCTGTGTACATGCATATACAGTAATTACCGTGACCACTCACTTGACACTGTACACGTACAGCTGTCCTCACTTCTTGTAACCCTAATTTTTGGATGGCTTTAATGATTTGATTTCAATTTTTCAATCGTTTAATAGATCCATTATCTATCCTTAGATTATTTAATTACCATACAGTAGCGAAATCGGACATACGTAGAAATACCGCTACCAATTCAAAAGTGAAGAATGTTTAAAAATATCCGAAGATTAAAAAAAAGTTAAAAGTCAGCTGTGCATGATAAATTTAGCGTATACGGGGGAAAACAACCATATATTTAAGGAATCACGGTCTAGTTTGATGGGTATGCCAAAGCATCAACGGCATGTAGTTGGAAACGTGGGATAGTTTATGCATGACGGGTGAAGTTGTAAATGCTAGTAACAAGAAATCGTCATACTTAACTTTCAGAGTTATAAAAAAGAACACATTTGGAAATGTTAATAATATACAACTCGCGATCACGACAACGACAACGATATTCTATTTCGCTAGTCTAATCATTACAAAATTGCATCCTTCTCTTCCGTTGATCAAATTAATTAAAATGTCTTCCTAAACAAGAACTGTAATGCATTAATTTTGTAGTCATTGGCGTATTAATTGATCATGTCTTTTGTGTTTGATACATGGATTAAGTACCAAAAAAATCATTTTCGTTGGGCTCGATGTTTATGTACATGCATGATCATGATTATAAACGAAAGAAAACATCGATGGGGTATACAGGTCCATAAAATCAACAAACGTTTACATGTGTACACACTTTTTCCGAGTACCCGGGTACTCGATCGGAAAATCGTCCGAGTAACCGATTATCAAATATTGACCGATTTGACATCCCTAATATATATATATATATATATATATATATATATATATATATATATATATATATATATATATATATATATATATATATATATATATTCCGTCAGCTATTTAAGAATTTGTTATAAAAAATATTCCGAGTGCAAATCATTGCTCCTGAGATCTTGCGACGTCGTTTATTTCTACTTTTTTCAAGAAGCAGTACTTATTTTCTGCAATTAATTTCTTTCAAAGAAACATTAAATTAAATGACAATACGACACATGAATGATGTAACCATACTCTATTTGCATATTTAAATAAATTTGTTTTGACACAATTATAGGAGATGTATGAAGGTAGACATTTTAGTGTATTGCGACTTCATTTATAAGTATTGACTTGCTCCATTTTTGCAGTTTTCAATTTTGAAAAATTTGAAAAGTATTATGATATATTTTAGCTTTAAATACAAATATTTTGAAGTTATTGTTGAAATATTTCTTCCAAATTTGGTTATTATGTGACGTTAAATAAAAGAGTTATGAAAGAGATCTAGTACGCTTTTTTTTTAATAAAATAACTAAGAATATTCCAAGAAATTGAAAGAAGATACAAGTATATATGAGACATAAAATTAAATCTGAAGTAAAAGAAAAACGAAGCATGAGTTTGCAAATAGGCTGAATTCTGATTGGCTAATACTCTTTTTGCTTGCACAAAAGCACA